CTTCGGAGTGGGTGTCTCCCATCGTAGTGGCCCGCAAGAAGAATGGGCAGATCCGGCTCTGTGTAGGCCTATGCAAGCCAAACACTGCAATAGTTTTGGATTCCCACCCTCTACCGTGCCCCGACAAACTTTTTCATCAGCTTTCCGGTGCCCACGTCCTCGGGAAGCTAGACCTCTCATCGGCATATCACCAGTTGGACTTGGCAGAGGAAAGCAGAGACCTAACGGCATGTGTGACGCATGAATGTCTCTTCAGGTTCACCAGAGTATGTTTCGGGCTAGCATCCGCCGCCCCTGCCTTTCAAAAAATGATGCACTACATACTCTGAGGTACTCCAGGTACCATCGTCTACCTGGATGATGTACAATTATTTTCGGGCGCACAAGAGAAGAGCATGATGCCCGCCTGAGGCAAGTTCTTTCACACCTTCAAGATGCAGGCTTAAAACTAAACCAGCACAAATGTTTTTTTTTTTTTTTGCAGTCCAGCAGCTTCGATTCCTACGACACGAGCTGACACCGCAGAGAATCAAGCAATGCGAAGATAGTATTGAGGCTATCATGCAGGCTTCACCCCCCACAAACATAACATCACTACGATCATTACTCGGCCTGCTCATATATTACCTCAAGTTTGTACCAAACTTTGCGACCATCGTGGAGCCTCTGCATGTGCTCCTGCGGATGAATGTTTCCTTTTAATAAAAAAAGGCACAAAAAGAGGCATTCACTGCTGTGAAGGATCTGATACGAAACAACAATCCACTGACTTTGACGTGGTGCTGCCCACCGTCGTCACAACGGATGCAACTAATTACGGATTCAGCGCGGTTCTGCAGCAAGTACTTACATCCGGAAGGAATTCGAACGGTGTCGTTCGCATCGTGAAAACTTTCAAGCGCCGAACGCAACTATTCTGCAGGGGAGAAAGAGGCATTGGCGTGCCTTTGGGCCTGCGAGAAATGGCGCGTTTTTCTCTTCGGGCGCCATTTCACGCTGAAGACAGATCATCAGGCTCTCGCTACTTTGCTTTCTACACGAGGATCCAGTCGACAACCAATGAGGATAACCAGGTGGGCTATGAGACTCCTCAGGTACGACTACGTGTTACATTACCAGAAAGGAAACAAGCGTGTCGTAGCAGACGCACTGTCACGCCTGCCTACTCCCAATCCTTAAAATTGCAGCAAGTTTAGTGACAACGAGGAAGAATTCACTTGCCGGTAAGCAATCTATGCACAATCGATCAAGAAGAAATCAAGAAAGAAACCAGGCAAGACCCTAATTTGCTTCGAGTAATCCAGTGTATCTGCACTGGATGGGGTCACGAGGAACGTGATAAAGTACTATCTACATACTACAAGTTGCGAGAAGAGCTTTCTTCCGTGGATGACTTACTACTACGTGGTGAAGTGTTGGTTCCACCTATTTGGCTACGGCATCGACTCATTGATCTAGCTCATGAGTCACACCCTGGAATTGTGCGGACGAAGCAGCGTCTACACCAGCACTTCTGTTGGCCCAGAGTGGACATCGAGGTCGACACCTGAAGCTGTATGTGAATTCCTCATTAGAATCTTCAGCCGGGAATGGTATCCGAAGGTGATTGTTTCTGATCATGGCCCATAGTTTGAATCCCGCATATTCCAGGAGTTCCTGAAGTCCAGAGGGATTTACCACCATCGGTGTGCGACATACCATCCACAAGCCAATGGTCAGGTTGAGCGCTTCAACCAAGTGCTTAAGCAGTACGTCCAAACTATCCTGCAGGAACAAACCAACGTTCCTACAGGCCTTGAGGAGTTTCTGGGTGTCTACCGAAGCACACCACATGCAGCGACGAAGCTCTCCCCCGCTGAGCTCATCCACGGACGTAAAATGCGTACCCGTATGGACATCGTGGGCTTCCCAAGTTTTGACAAGCCCGTTCACATCGAGATGCAGCAACTCCGCCAATGCATTGCTGATTACCAGAAGCACAGCAAGCAATACACAGATGATAGGCGAAGATTCAAACCATTTACAGCGGGTGTAGGAGATTATGTCTGAGATTATGACCGAAGAGAACACCATCATTTGACCCCTCTGAAAGAATTCATGAAGCGGTGGGGCCAAGCACCTTCTCTGCTTATTCTTCCATCTCTTTTACCTCTATCCCCCTATAGATTGGTTGATCCTTTCTTTTTACCTTCCCTCTACAATCTTTCATTTATTAATCATATTTCACACAAAGACCACCATCTCCTTCTCATTAAAATTTGCTTATGATTGATTATTCAGAAAAAATTATGTATGAAAGAGCTGGAGCCCTATGCGAGCTAGGGTAGCTTATGTGTCTGTGCAAGGGAATGATCGATTGAACTGGTGAGTATGGGATTGGTGAGTATGGGATAGCTGGAGATGACTTCCTGAATTATTGTTTCAGAGGTTAGATGGTACTGAATTGTGGCGATTATTAATTATTAAATGAACTCTCCAAGTGTAGAAACTATTAAACAGGCAAGAAATAAAAAGAAAGCATTATTCTAGTACATCGTTACTTATGCAACTTTACATTTTAACATTTGAAGTGTTCCTCACCACAAAGTTTTATTATTATTACTGTTTTATATTGATTTAATCATTCAAATCTATACCACCATGTGTTTTCTTTTACATACACACTGTATGCTGAGTACAGAGTTTTGGCTGAAGCTAAGACGTGTTTTGTACACCATTTATTTGTACTAACCTTATAATTGGGAGGAAACATGTGTTTCATCACAATAGCAACATTGCTGAAGTAGAGGTTTCAAGGAACAAATACAATTAACTTGGAAGTCTGCTTGCCCCTAAAAGGACATTTTTCTATAACATCTGTGCAGTAAAAAGCCCACAAGCCTGCTTCTAATTAAAAACGTACGCTATCCAGAATAGCGCGACCCGCAAAAGCGGTTCTTCCTACGACAATGTGCCTTGTGGAACAGTTTGAAACTCAGAAAAGAGCTCGTACCCTGGAAGGAGGGTTTCGCCCTTCTATTTGCTGTACGGCGGGAAAGCGGCGGACCAAGTAACTCGCAAGTGCGCTTCCCCTTGCACGTATTTTCCTTGTGGGAAAGCGCAGGACCAGGAAATGTACTTGTCAGTTGCAGTAAGATGGGAAAGCAGTACACCTAACGTTCCATAAGCGTGCTTCTCCCTGAAACACCGAGTTTTGCAGGAAAGCAAAAACCCCGCAAGTGCGCTTCACCTTACGAAGTTGTGTACTGCGGAAAAGCGACCTAGAAATACTTTTTCATTATCTACATTTACTGCAAGAAATCCATGCGCGAATCTCATCCTCCGAAGAGCACTTAGGGCAATAGGCCCCATTGATTGACTGAACATGACTTTATAACTAACCAAATTACAGATTTCTCACTGGCGAAATTAAAAAAAGAAAAAATCATTGATTAGATTTAAGCTGTTTTCTCAAAATATTTTTTTCAGAGAAATATAATTTCTCTTAAAATAATAAATACACTAGAATATGCACGATCAACCAGAGACATATACTTTAGTCTGTCTGCCTAATTCTATACCTCTCTCTGCTGGTATTTAAGTTTGTACGCTTGTTCACGCACGCAGCTCTTTTGTTGACTCTACCCTTTCCCTTGTTTTGCTATACCAGAAGAACGAGCTGAAAAGTAGAGAGAGCCTTCAATTCTACAATTTACTTTTGCCTCGAAGAAGTCTTATATTTGCTCGTTATCCCCATATCAATATTACTTGATAATTATTTTACATGGAATGAAAAGATAAATACACCTGAAAATAATAAAATAGTTGAGGTTCCAGTGGTAAAATTAATGTTTTTTTTAATATCTTATATCAAAATGTTTGATTTGAAACATCGGTATTCAAATCATACTTGGGTAGTCATTCAATTACAGTAATTAAATTACTGTAATTTAATTACTTTTCTGGTAATTTGTAATTCATTACTTTCTGCTAAAAGGAGTTGCAATTGTACTTTATTTGCTTTCTAACATCAGTAATTACGAACTTTGAGGCACAATTACAATTACTTTTGCAAGAATTTCCATTGCCATCATCATCACTGATGACGACATCAGTGACGTCACTGATGACGTCACCGACATCTGCATCGTCATCATCACTGATGATGTCATCAGCAAATTAATTTTGTAATTGCAATGAATTATTTCTCAGGTAGTACTAATTGTAACTGTAGTTACTGCTTTTGGAGCAAAGTAATTGTAATTAAATTACATTTTAGAAGTAATTTACCTGTATGATTAAAATTGTGGTCTAAATCATGATTTTGATTTAAATCAACTTTATTTTTATCCTCCACCCTGTCGATATGTGTGTCAGTGCATGACCACTGCCAATCATTTCATTTGCAGCATGCGACATTGAGCCCTCAATTCTTTATACGAGGGCAATGAGGGATGGCCAAGGGATGAAGATGGGCTGAACAATTTTTTTCCAACGTTTTGTTGATATACTATTAGATAACTTTGCACTCTGCAGATGAAATTCGGTACGGTCTGCTTTTTTGGAATCGATCGGATGGACACTGAATCTATAAGTCGATTGAATCAGGATGTCCCATGCAGGGACCAAACTGTTTAATTTTTTTATAGCTAACTTACTAATATTGTAATATTGCTGCTTTTATGCTTCAAGTGTGTAGATAAGTGGGTAGCGCAAATGCTCAGAAAGAGTGGCAATGTCATGTTCTTTATATAGTTGATTATAGTGGAGACAAGAACTTCTGGAAGAGTATTTCCGACTCTGTGTAGGTGTCAATCAGGCAAAGGCAAACGCTGCCTTGTACCGCAGAGACACGAGGAATTATGTTACACCACTTTTCTTCGCAAATAACGATTTGGCAGTGCTACAGCGATAATAGATAGTGGTGGCAAAAAAGGGCTGTCATTTGTGGCCCTCGAATTAGGAGGGTCAGCAACAGGTTTATAATAATAATCTTTATTTTGGGTGCCATCAGTCTTTATCTTGGATGCCTCATGGTGCACCAAAACAAACAATAAAACCAGCAAACAAAAAAAAACTCCTAAACACACACAAAGTTAACAAACAAATAAATGTAAGATTATCCAAATGGCGACGGTACATTGCAACAGATGCAGATATATAAAGGTGAGGTGGAGCGATGGCATCATATGACTGAATCCGAGAGACGTGAGGTATTGCACAGTGAGCACACATAAAAGCATACGAAATGTCTGGTTACACATGAAGGAACATGAAACAGTTCAGCTCTAGTTTGCCTGTAGTTGTTTACAAAGGCATCGGTGGACATCTTCACAGACTCCTACTTTAAATAGGGTGGACATGCCTGCAAGAAGCGGTAACATCATCGCACATTGCATAGGCTGTAACTATTAGCTATTACCCATGTGCAATAGGTGTTTGTTGCCTGTAGTAATTACTCTACATGTGATGTGCAGGAATTTGCGGCTCCCGTGTCGACCAAGGAAATGCCAGTGCTCTCGCAGTTAGCTTTCTTACGTTGCTCTGGTGCACGCAGAGAAGCACCGGGCATTATTTGGGGAGTGATCAGAAAGTAAAAAAGGGGCCCATGTGCGCTAACTATTGTTGGGGCAGGATTGATATCAAATGCAGTGTGTTGATGTAACTACTAAGGTATAAGACAAATTGGCACCCCACCAAATGTAAGTAAACAACATCAAAATCGATTTGTAATGGAGAACAGTTTGTTCACATTATAACACAAAATTCCAATTTCCCTGCACCACTTCAGACTCGGAAAGAATCATTGGACTGTGCAGCGCCTAGTAAGTTGGTTTCTTCAGAGCCAATTTACACAAGTAGCAACTTGCTCAGTTTTCAAGGGGCCTTGTTTTTGGAGCCTTCTTGTTACCAGATGTGAGGCCCACAAACTTTTAGCTATAATTTCCCCAGCCTCTTAGAAACACTATGTGGTCAGATTAACAAAACTTTGCTGGAAAAGTCGGAGAATTCTGAAGAGCCAACATGGCGCGGTCAATGGGGCACCCTTGATGGTCCAGCCGTCCCACGAGCGGGTCCCTGGCATTGCCTCCTTGTGGTCCTGCTGGATCTTGGCCCTGGCCATCTTCTCCAGGATGCTCCGCACTTGCTGGCCCATGAACCCAGCGAGGAGCTGCACACAGTACTTGACATTAACACCAAAGCTGATTGTCAGCTGTAGTGACCTCACTCGTTCAAATTGTTAAAGATGTTGCCTTGAAGATTTCACAGAAAAGGTGCTGCGCCTTTAGCTTTACATACAAGGCACCTATGCCAAAACGTCTAACTGGGACCGGTTGGCATCTCGACTGGTTACAATTGGAACTAACTGGTCCCAAGTTGGAATTGGCTGTTACCAATAGGAGTCCAACTGGGACTAGCTGAGGGGTCAACTGGCTTGACTATGCCCAGATGGGGAACGGGTAGGGGTAACTGGGACCAGTTAAGGAGTTAACTGGTTGGAGGGATTCCCAGGGGGAGTTTCAACTGTTTTCCCATTCCCTGTTAGGGTTCACATGCCGTATCCATTTCGACAAGATGCGGGTGTATTGATCTTAGCTAGTGAGGGAAAAAAAACTTAAATATATAGATTTACAGAAATAGTTAAACCTTTAATTACTAGGTATACATTTATGTATTTAAAAAAATATGTCAAATTTCAATGTACATATCCTTTTATAACTTGCACTATAATTAGTGGCATAAAAAATGTATACTTGAATCAACATTTATGTACATGTATAAAAATGTATTAAACATTGAAGCAAAGACCTACTCCTTTTTTTTAATCGGACCCAGCAGGCCGTTGTGACACGCACGCGGATTAGTTCTATGCGTTGTCGACAGATGGCACATGTGACGCAGTGAAAAATCACCAATCATGATTTTTAACGATGATGAAGTTGAGAGGCTGAAGGTGCAGAATATTACAGTTGAGAGAGCTAGTAAATACAAGTATGTAGGAGTATGGATATGTGATGGTGCAGAATACCTCAGGGGGCATGAAAAGTATATATCAGGTAAGGGCAACAGAAATGCAGCTGTAATGAAAATTAGAGCACTTTGAAATTACAACAGGTACGAGATGGTGGGAGAGATTTGGAAAGGGGTCATGGTGCCTGGCTTGACTTTTGGAAATGCAGTGCTATGCGTGAAATCCGAAGTGCATGCAAGACTAGAAATAAAACAGTACGGAGTAGGTAGGCTGGCTTGGGGGACACATTGCAAAACGCCAAACCAGGGAGCTAGTACAAGGAGACATGGGATGGGTGTCATTTTAGAGCAGGGAAGTGGTGAGCAAGACAGAATTTGAGGATTGGTTGAGGCAAATGGATGGGTGGCAATGGGCACAAAAGGTTTTCAGCTATTTATACATGAGGAGTATAGATACAAAGTGAAGACAGTGCACTAGGGAGTTAGGAGGACAGTTTTTAGGCTATAGTGGACTTAGGAAGAGCAGGTGTCAGTTAAGGCCACAGAAAGAGATTGGTGGCTAGAGGGAATGCAAACAAAGACGGCTCTGGAAAACTATAGATTAAACAAAACAGTTATTGCCAAAGAAAGCATTTAAGACCATTCTAGGGGAAGCTCATTGTTGTTTGAGGCGAGGACGGGTGTACTGCAAACCAGAACACACAGAGCGAAGTACCAGGGAATGGATACAGTGTGCACTGCTTGTGGAGAGGAGGACGAGACGGCTGAGCACTTGATACTCTGCTGTAAAGGGCTTCACCCTATGCCGACCGAAGACAACATAGATTTAATAAAGTCATTGGGTTTTAGAAACAGCAAACGAACAGTGGATTTCAAGACAGTAGAGATTACCAAGCAAAGATTAAGTGAATGGTGGCAAAAAGCGAGAAAAAACTACCGTAATATCCCGAGTCATCGCCCACCCCCCAACCGCCTGAAATTCGTTAAAAAAGTGGGGTGGGCCATGTCTCGGTGGGTGAGCACAAACACTTGAAAAAAAGCGGAAAAAACCGCATATTTTTATCTGCGTATCTAGCGCTGATGCACAAGAGATACATCAAACTCAAAACTCGATTTAGTTTCATTGTTTTATAGAAAGAAAAAAAATGCTCACGAAAGAATATTTTACTATAGCGAAGTCCGTTGCTTGCATATGCGCTAGAAACACCGCCGATCTGCATATAGCATGAACGTTTGTTCCATGAAAGAATGTCACCATTATGTTCTCCTAGTTAGTAAAAAAAAAAGAAAGAAAAGTCTACAAGAAAATTGAAAAACCGACCAGGCGCAACGAGCGGACCAAAGAAGCGACCAAGAGCAATGCTGGGAAAGCGGGAAAGCCGGCGGTCGCGTTGGCAAATACTTTGGCGTCGGGCCAAGTCGGGCGCCTTGTCAATTGCAAGCTCTTGCGCAACTTTCTTGTTTGGTGCGTACATACGTGCGTCCGTGCACGGCGGGCTATCAATGCACAGCCCGGTTGGGACGTTCCACCAAAGCTTTATTTACGCTTTGGCTTTGCCAAAAATGTTGCCCAACCGCGGTCGTGACGGGCGGGAAGAAGGAGCGGGTTCGCGGTGACCTTACTTCGGCGGAGACAGACTTTGACCTAACACACCGCGGTTACGTTAACAAACTCTTATTTTGTTATCTCCATCGTTCTTTTCGCACGGATACACGACCACTTCGGGGTCGCTCATGGAGGAAATGCGTAAACAAAAAGAAGTGTCTTTCCCTCCTTCGTTTCACTTTGTCACGGACGTCCTCCAACTGTAAGGCCCGCGGCCGCGTCATTCGGGTAGGATGAGTGTTCGCGGATCGCAGAGTCCGCGCTGGGGTATTTGAAGGGGTGGGCGATGACTCGGTGTTTTTTCGGAAATCGATATTGGCCCAAAAAATGGGGTGGGCGATGGCTCGGGGATGGGCGATGACTCGGGATATTACGGTAGGTATTTTCTTATTAACTGATGGCAAGGGTGTTTTATAGCCTCACTTTCTTTGCAGTGCGGAGTGAATATAGCTTTCACATTTAAATATTCTAAGCCTAAATGGTAAAACAAAATGGATAGGTGGCGTAAGCTACCGCCCGATCCAAAGGGCTCAGCCGGATTCATCCATCCATCCATCCAGTGGTCGGTAGAGAAGGGAAACCATCGCCGAAGTTGGTGTATTGATAAACGTGTCGTTATGAAAATGCCAAAACCATATCTGCGCTTCTTGCGACCCAACTAAATACGCCATGGTGGTAACGGTGAACTTCGAGGGCAGAAAAATGCAGTTCAGCGACCGGAGGGCACCCAGGGAAAAACCAGACGGAAGAGAAAACAGCCGCGGAGGGCACAATGGTAAAAATGGCGGAAAGTCTACCTGAACTGGCAGCTGTTGTGACAAAAGCAGTTGGAATTGTTTGATTGTAAGGTGGGAGCGCAACCGCATCCTATCAGGACCTCACCTGCGCAACGCGGAAACACGGGTGAGCACCTTTCTTCACGCGATGGAGGGAAGCTAGGGACGTCGTCACGGATGCTGACAGACGCCAGCGGCTAATCTTTCACCTCGCACGAATAGTAGCTCTGAAAGGGAGATTCAATCGTCGCAATTAGCTAACGAGGCAACTGAAGTGGTCCTTAGAGCTAAGCTGTGCTTCCTTCAATCCGGAAACGTGGACATCACCGAACCTATTTATTTTCATTCTCGGTTTTTGACAATAAAGACTGGTCAACCTTCCAAGTTGTGCCGTGTTTCGTTGCTGGAGTTGGCACCGTTCTGTCAACCAGTTGAATCCAACCAGTAATTTAGCTCGCCACGTGCGCGGGTCAATTTTCAGTTCCCCTCTTTACGGCGAGCCTTGCAATCGTTGCCGCCCTATATTCGCGCTCTTTAGTGCAGCGACATAACGCACGTGTGCATACCTTGTTGCCGATCCAGCTTGGGTAGACGCCGTCGTGGCCGATCCACTGGTGCCACTCGTCAGCCAGCCCGTCAAGGAACGTGAACCCTTCCCTGCGACACAACTCTCGCAGCAGCAAGTTCACCTCTCGGTAACGGTCATTCAAAGCCTCGATCTCTGCAGCGAAACTACGCTGCCATTCCAATGAGCAGAACCTATTCTCCCGTCTCGGAAGAACGGCAGAAAAGGCGATCTGCATCATTGGATTGCGTTCACAGATCTGGGCAGCTAGACGACAATATTTGTCGATGTACACGCTGGCACTAATATGGGAATTATTAGTGCCAACGTGCAGGATGACAACATCAAAATCAGGCAGCCTCTCAGACACCTGGGAAAACAAGTGCTCGATTCTAATACCACTAAACGGCGCAACCTACTGGGGCAAGTACTTTACCATCGAATCGCCGGCTACCTAAACTCGAGGCATGTTGGGGGTGCGATCAAAGCTAAAATACAAAGAGTAGCACTAGATACGGAAAAATGTATTGCTAAAAAGAACAAGACAATGCTAAACAAAATGCTTCAAAGAGTGCGAAAAATCAGCCAAAATAGCTTGCGTGACCGGAGCCGACAGCAGCGCGGGCAGGAAGGAATGGTATGTGCAGTACGGGACAGGACCCGACCACAGAAGACTACAGCGGCAGACGCACATGTCATAACAATGGCAACATCCGGGGCCGGGAATGATACGTTACTTCCGGCGTCGAAGGAACGATTTCCACACAGCCGTCTCTCTTCCGACGCCACTACGTCACTTCCGGCGTCGGAGGAGTGATTTGCACACAGGTCCCACTGGTCCTACTCCTCCGACGCCCGTCGGAGGAAGCACTTCCAAAAACCCCAGATTAGCGGTTGTACCGCACTGGCTAAATTTGTCATCTACAACTAAGAGATACGTCACCCATTGAGGCATACTAACATCAAGCCTGTCTAAACATACAAGCAACATAATTTTCGAACGTGTTTATTAGCTATTTTTAGGGGAGACCGGGAACGTAGCCGGTCTTCCCTAAGATTTTGGGAGATTATCTCGACGGAAATAATCCTCGAATGACACCGAACGGCGCGCGTTGCGGGCTGCTTGACGTTCGCTCTCTTCGTTCGTTTCCTGCGAAGGCCAAGCAGGCTACGAGCCCTGGTATTTCCTGGTTCTCACGGTGGAAGATAACAAAGGGTAAGCATCCTGAGCAGGCAAAGAAAGTAAAATCTTTCAAGCCGGCAAACTCCGAATGCACAATGTAGGTGGGGAGCCACACTGACCGGGTTTCCACAGCTCAGGCGGGTGGAAGAAATTTCTGGCTGATAGGCGTCGTCCCGGTCGCAAAATGGCGGTGGCCAGAGAGCTATTTTTGCGAAGTTTTATACATGTTCAGAGTATGTGATCACGTTGGCGCATACTCTTGAAATGGGTCTGTTGACACTGGAAAACACCAAATCTGTGGGAAGTCACGAAAAGATGCCCCCGAATCAAAAGAAAAATAAACACTCAAAACATGAATGAGATATACGGCAACCTCTGAAATTTTGGCATCTGATCCGAATTGTCAGAACATTCAGGCGGAGATTGAGGATTTAGATAGACATAATATATTTTTGCATAAAGAAAAAAAAAAAGAAATTGGGGACATTTTCTACGAAGTGCATACGCATTGGAACTATTCGGAAGATGGGGAGAGGGGGGGGGGGGGGGAATTTAAAGTAAACTGTAATGTTCATTTCATTTTTTTTTTTTTTATTTATCTCGGGGGTGCGATTGTTTTAGTCCCTCTATTCTGTCGTCAAGGGCAGGGGGGAAGTTTCTCAAGCAATAAAACTGTCCCTTTCGCGGGTATGTTTGCCGAAAATGAATTTCAGCTGCAATTTTTTAAAGTACCCATGCTCAGTGCATACTAAATGTAAAATATTTGAATTCGAATTTTCGAAATTGTAGCTCTGAAAAAGTTTCTGCTCATTCTCTTTTTGAGGAATCCCTGGTCGGCCCTGCGACCTTTCATTAAAGGGGCCCTGCAACAACTTTTTGACTGATCTTTAATTTGCACCGATCCTGAGCGCACTGAACGTAGAAACTTAATGAAACTTTTCTTTTCTCAAATTTCGCTTTAGTTTAAAAGCTATAGGCAAATTAGAATTACAAAAACAAGCAAAAAATAACCTCCTCCATGACGTCGTAGGTCCTGGCTTGAGCGGCCGTGAACTAGAGGAGGGACAGTGAGCTCATCGAGCGCTCACGGTTGCCGCACTCCGTGTCGACGGCTCAAGAGGGCGCCACTAAAGCACGTGTTGGATAGGCTGTACGAAGCGGGCGGTCAGGGCGGCTCGCATTGCATTTGCTGCACAATTAAAGACTAATTCGGCATAACACTTCATTGGCCACAAACGACAGCAAACACGGGGTAAATATCAGTTCAGAACGGGAGCCACTTCGCGCTGCCATACCGCCAAATGGCAAAATCGCCAGCAAAGCCGGCGCCGAAAGCCTTCGGAACGCTCGGAACCGGTCGGATCCTCGACCGCAGCGCCGCCGCGTACATCCGGGTTCTTTCTATGCACGCCGTTCGTCAGCGCCTCATCGCACTAGCCCTTTCTAATATGCGCCGTTTTTTCCGCCGCTTGGTGGTGGGTATGTCGACGAGTCATTTCTTGTTTCCGTACTTTATAAACTGCATTTGTTTCTTTTCTGATCTCATTTACCGAACAAAAACTACTTTCATACATAATTGAAACGGTTCGCGACACTTATATTCTATATCTCGACTAAAAAAAAAAGATTTTAGCGGTTCTGACCAGTAGTAAGCCCAGGACCAAAGACGTCAGATATCGCGCGCTTTCGCCTACGCGGGTCGCCCTCGTAGGTGGAGGAGGTTTCCGCGTCGTCCGGTTAAAATATGACGCACTGATATTTAGTTACTCTCTCCGTGCCCGCTGGCTTGCCCGAACCCCGAGAGACCTGGAAACCACAAAAAAGGTAGATGCCTAAATATGATTGCAGGGCCCCTTTAAAGGGCAACTGCAAAGAAAAAAAAGTTTTTTTTTAAACAGCCCAATTGGGACAAGCATGTCACAAAACAAATGTTCCGCGAAAAAAATGATTTTTTTTATCAATATTTACGCCACGGGACGTAATTTAGTAGAGTCAGAACCTCTCCACATTTGAAACTCCCGCTCTTTCGACCCCCGCGGAAGAGGAGTACGCCCGCCCTTGCGTTGCGTTGCGGACAACGTTACTAAAACACTCAGTTGGGAAACTCCCATTACGACAGCTTTGGAAAAGTGACCCCAATCTGTCTCCGAGCACCGAGCTAATGACGAACACAACGCCACCATTTCTCCCGCAGCGGCCACTCGTGAAACTGCACGTGACTTCTATTTTGGCTTTGAGAGCAGATACAGCGGTAGAGGTTACAGGGGTGCCACCCCCGCCTCCCCGGCGGACGCGCCGCGTTCACCTACAGTACACCATACTTCGGCGGCCATGAAAGAATGGCGAAGCTTTTGTTTGTTATGGTATGAATCCAAACGGAAGTGCCCGTCTTGTAAACCTTTTGTAAAGAATAATAACTCTCATCACATGGGTTATTCTTTAAACGTAAAAATATGCCGCTCAAAAGGAAATCGCAACAAATAACAAAGGTTTAACAACCAAGATCTAAGCTGTCAATTAAACTCTTAGCCAATGAGAGCCGATTGGGACTAACGTCACGGAATCCCAACTTCGTGGCGCGCGATTTAAAACGGGTGATATAGCCGCAAAATAAAATCAGTCTCACGCAATAAATATTGCTGTAAAAATTTTTTTTTCTCGCAGAAAAATTGTTTTTTGACATGCGTGTCCCAATTAGGCTGTTTAAAAAATTTTTTTTTTTTCTTTGCAGTTACTCTTTAAAAACTTTACGTAGATCGTACACAAAAGCTTTCCATTGCTAGCTGAAACCCCTGCCAGCACTTTAGAATGAGCACATGCCCAGCAGGGTCCACAATCCGAATTATGTCTATGAAAAGTCCCTATTTTGTGTTTAGTGACTTTTAAAAGTGACTACAATTCATAAATACGAGTGAATGAAAGCTTCATCAAGCACTTGCTTGGAAGCTTTCCAGAAAAGCACGCAGAATGCCATGGTAGAATCGTAACACTGGATAAAATATTTAATATATGCACTCGCGTATACAATCATTTGTACAAGAAGCAATATACATTTGTACACAATAGCGCAATCAAAAGACCAACGCTACCTTCCATCGGACACTTTGCTGGTTTGTCGTAAAAAGACCCGACGAACTCCCCCCTGGCCACCAGCCCCATTGTTATGCCCCGTTAACTAACAACAGTCTTTAAAAAAAAAGAGCTCCGCAAACATCACAGCTTTTGAAATAGCCAGCGCACTACAAGAGGCCCTTGTACAGAAAAGGCATTCGCACACTGGGACACCTGTACAAGCAGCAAACGTCAAAGGCATTTGCAAAACAAGTCGAGAGACCCTCGTTTGATTAGATGTTCAATATGGGTTGGACCCTGAGTTAAACAACGGCGTCATCACATGATATGCCACTCTCCCAAACGTTATGTCGCGCAGAATGCGGTGAATACATCGACGGTAAAATGGAGTCAAATGTATAAAGTGATAGATGACGAAAAACAAAGAATACCACTGTGCGCGAAACGGATAGGGACGGCTCTATTCGAGAGTGCGATCAAAAGTAGACGGCGAGCTCGCAATTATTGGCTCGAACTGGTGCGTTTAGCCTGCCTCTGCCCGCGCGTCGACAGCAGTCCCGAAGTGGCGACAAGTCGTGTTACAGGAGCCGGTGTTTTGTGCCGTCTGATGTCAGGATCCGGGCGGGCGGTCGTAGAAATGCCGACGAAAAAACGAAGCAGAGGCAAGGGTCCCCGTCCTAGCGGCGTACCAGCTCCAGGCCACCGAAGCTCTCGCAGACTGTCGACGAGCCAGAGAGTAACCCACATAGGAGCTGCCGTCCGTCGCTTCCGCCTCAGCTACGGCACTACTGCCAAAATTGCAGCAGGCAATGACGCAGCAATTTTTTTATGTCGGCCGGTGGACACCGGGGGACCGCTTTTGAGGACGGGGTAAACGCAACAGTCGGAGACGCACTCCAGGCACCGTGGTGACGTGAGACACCCTGGGCAGACACACCGGCTACACTGCCGCAAACCGAAACAGACAGTGGTATGGAACACCTCGAAAGAGCAAGCTCCGAGCTTAACACGAAACTAAAGGGAAAAACGTACGCGGAGCGCAAGTTTGTCTGCTTCTTGCACAGGTTGCGATGATGTCAGAACGCCCAGCTCCTATTCGGCGATTGAAAAAAATAGTGGGTAGACCTCACTATCCTTTCAATCAAAGCCAACCAGAGCTCGGTGTCGTCCCGACGTCGCCGCAACTCCTGGGCAAGAAGCGGACGACTTGCTCTCCGCACAGAGCCGGCACCCAGTCAACGTTCTAAAGCTCTGCAGCGGCAAATCCTCCATTGACCGCCACGTTCGCGGTAAGCCTAGAAATATGTCGTGGCTCGCGAGCTAAACTAGTATCGGAAACAGTTTGGAAGGAATACGCAACCGGGTATAGCTCGCGTGGGTGGACGTAAAAATGGTAAAAGGTCGTGAAATCTCCACGAGCACTGTTCACAGAACGTTCCGAGAGTTTTCAGGCGGAAATCACGTGGCTCAAAGACAACAATGTCCCTCGGAGCGACGTCGCTCGTTCGCAACAGCGTGGAGAGGCAGGCTCTTCCTTAAAGACTCACAACTTGCACTTCCGACAGACTACATAAAACCCTGCAATGCCCGGCAAAGTTTCCGCTCGTGCGGACTCTCTTTTCCTTGCGAAAGAGTGAGGCCTCCTTCTGCTTAGATGTCACTCAAATGCACAACGTTACAGGGACGAATACTACAGTTGTTCTCCAATTCCAACTTGATGTCCCTTTTAACAGGATCTCTTGGGTGTCAGTCCCTCTCCGATCCACTGCCAAGAGCTGTAAAAAGTAAACAAATGATGTTTTAAATAAAGCGGGACCATAGAGAAATGCTACACGCGAGGCAAAAAACATGCAATCTTTAATTTCTTTGATTTTTCTGGCATACTTAATCATTCGCCCAATTTTTCTCAGGAAGTTCTTCAAAAGGTTCATATTTGGGAATTCATACTTTGGTTGATGATTTGATCGCGGCAAGTGAAACATCACTGTTTGGGGTGATTGACGGGCGGAGGCACTCTGCTGCAAGATCCAGAGTTCACGGCCATCCTCTAAGCACGAAATTATGGTCACGCAATGCAGAAAGATTGAACGAGCACTCAAATTCATGAGTGAAGATGAGAATTGTAACACCCTGCACCATATTATTTGGACAGCAGTGATCACGCCAATCTGAGCAATTAAAAAGCAGCGAGTGAGGCTTCAGCAAGGTAGTGTCACAATAAGTTTTGACCACGCCGCACTTGGCTGCAATGTTTAGAGAATTCATGACAATTTCGTGCCTACAAATGATCCGGTCAATTGCATTAACCCTCCCGCACGATACGACAAGAAACAAGAGCCCCGACATTCGCAACTCCAAGGGGTGCGACGCCACACACAAAGAAAGGCCCGAATGACTTTCAGAAATGGGCAGCTCGTGCCTGTCCAAATGTGCCCCACCAGAAAAGTGGGCCCTAAATGTGCGGCAAAATCTTCGGCACTGCTGGCAAAAACTTGAGACGGAGAAAGAAGTATGAAATGCACGAGGCTGAAGTTGTGAGCACCATGCCGGCCGCGACAGCCGCAGGAGGTTAAAGCCTGTCGAGCAGTCGGAAAGGTGAAAACTAAAGTCGCTGGATCCTGGAAAAGTAGCACCATTGCCTTCCCTGCCTGCTAGCCGGACACAAACAGATAACACACAGATGACCAAAACCTCGCATGGCAATTCACTAATTGGCCTCCGTTGCCATGGTAATCGCCACATAGTATCTTCGAAACTTCGAGAGGGTCGTTCTAAACCAGTCGCGCCAAGATTGCCATGGAGCATCGTCGAACCGGAGGCGTTCCTCGCCGATACAAACGTCTTTGGCATGGCACTGTGTAAGCAATCAACTTGTCAATCATGCCCATCTCCAATTGTTCTTCTCGCATATTATTTTGAGACTGGAAAATCATTTTTCAATGCCTCCAAGCGCCCACACCGCGTGTGGGGGCGGTACAAAGACGTACGCTTGTTTCATCTGTGTGTGGGTGGCAGGATATTGGTGTGCAAGAAACGCCTCTATAAAGCTATCCGTCACGAGTGAATTTAGATCGGCTCACCAAGAATGGAGAGGTCAAGGAGAAACTGCTCGTTTTCCGAGCCAAAATGGCAACCAGAGGGAGCTTGTCAGGATCCAGTGGCTTTAGTGGAAACTGCCTCCAATGCTGCCTAGATAAGAAGGTCCTGTCCTTGGCAGGGACTGCCATTTAACTAATGAGAACATGCATCCCAGCCAAATCCCGATGCAGCACTCCTGTTCAATATGTACCCCGCACCGGCCGCTTGTAGGTGATACGGTAAATCCAGCCTTATTACTACTGAGCTGTTGGAAAAGTGCAAGAGGGAATGGAGACAAGGAGACTGGGAAAGAGTTTTTAAACTGGCAGAAGACAATTCTGAAGGTCGGCCTCTAATAGCAAGAGGGGAAGTCGTCTCTCACCGTGCTCCGAACCGCCGTCGGAGGCGCCGGCCACCGTGGCCGTCCCGAAGTGAAAGACGTCGCCCGTTGGCGGTGCGTCGTCCCCAAAGACACTCCCGTCGTCCCTGGCCCAGGGGACGCTGGCAGACGACGAGGCCACCGAGCACGGAGAAAAGGAGCGCTCCTCGGACCCGGCCACGCTCGAAGAGGTCCTCCGCTTGCCGCCCCTCAGCATCGACACCCCCATGGTGGGGCGCGAAGGGGTGCGAGGGGGAGGGGTGTCGGGGGTGTCCGGGCGCGCGCCCGGAGCAACGAACACCTCGGCGTAGCAGTGCGACGACGACGACGACGTCACGAAGCTCCCGGCGGAGGCACTGCTGTTGAGGCTGCTGCTGCTGCCGCTCTTGTTTGCCAACGGCGACGTCTCGTCCACAGCCTGATGAGAAGAGAACGCGGCAAAACCGAGTTTAGGATCTTGACCAGAGTGCAAGTTCGTCCGCCTCTTTCACGAAGGCTGCGACGATGTCAGAACGTTGAGCTCCTATTATTAGCCGGTCGAAAAAAATAGGGGGCAGACCTTGAGGCATCTGGCATTGAGGTACACCCACTAGCTTTCCAATCAAAGCCAATTAGAACTCGGCATCGTTCCGATATTACCGCAACTCCTGCGCAAGAAGCAGACAACGTGCTCTCTGCACAGCCCCGGGCAGTGAACAAGAGGTACCTCAGTCAACTGCTAGTCAGCGTGACTGGTGGCCAAAAGAAGCAACTTTGGGAGGGCCATGCCACCAAATGATCGGACACGAGCGCAGCACCACCAGTGATATGATTGGCCAAAGCCATTTTGGAGCACCTTTCGGAGCAGCCAATACAGTGTTTTGGAGCAGCAAATGTGAACTTTGGAGCAACCAAAACAGTGTTTTGGAGCAGCAGAAGTGGCATCTGAAGCGGCCAAGACAGTGTTTCGGAGCAGACATTCTTAGAAAAATAAAAAAAATATTTGTTTTAAGTGCTCTACAAACGAAGGGCACATTGTGTTATGTTGTGTTTTGATGTGACGTGTTTTGACGGAACTCGCTGCTTGTGTTTTTACTGCTGAGACATCCCACAAGTGTACAGTACTGTAGGCATTGCCGAGCAATTCCGAAAAACCGCTTGCCACCGTTTTACTGGTTCCCGACGTGCCAGATTTTCATCAAAAGTAAGCAAACCTAAAACAATGAATCGCAAGTGTCCTGGCTGGTGCCTCTGTCGTGCAATCATATTCGCATGCACAGGAGGGCAACTTCGGCAGGCTTGCAGTTGCACGTGCTTTGTCGCGCGAGCGGAGACAAGGGCTGTTCAATCAAAACCAAAACCATGTCACTCCACTCCATTGCCAACTGATTCCCAAAACTGTATGCAAAACTGTCAAGCCTACAACAAAAAACAGTGCAGCAGTGCGTGCTTGCCAGACCAGCAAACAAGCTACAAGCTAAACACACACATAAAAAAAAAAAAAAAAGAACCTGAGCACATCTGCGAGACATTGCGAGCCACGGTCAAAAAGTGCTTGGAGCACTTTGTGCAACGACTGAACTTGAGACAAACAAGCACACTATGAAGGTTCAGCGTGCAGACATTGCCTTTTTTTGCTTTAGCTCACTTCTCTTCACAAACTTTCTTTCGCAGCAGATTTTTCACGTACCGGGGTCGCTCTCGAAAGAAAGCCCACCGTGCCATCACGCTGGTACCAGCCAGCGTGACGGCATGGCTGGTTCCCGGCACGCTAGCATTGGAGCGTCGGCATACACCGGCGTCTATCGTTGAAAATATTTTCTTTAAAAAAGACGCGAGACGAGACTTGCGAAACGACGCGAGCGTGAAATGTGAGACAGCGGGAAAACCATGCAAGACCGGATGCACCATCAGTGGGATGGGCAGTTGATGCAGGGTACTTTGTGTCGGGCGGCAGCTTGAGCTACGTAACGCACGCATGCTCAGTTACGGTACTCAGTTTAGTATTGGATTTGAAAGGCGACCGAATTTGTTTTTTTGGCACAGGCTTGGCGCAGATTACCAATATTTTGGCAAAATGTAGCAGGATGTGGCAGGGTTAGCCCTTTGGCGCAGTTTGGCACAATTGGTGCAGCAATCACATCACTGCACTACTGTTCCGCAGGGCCCTCGGATATTCGGACTTGAGATTGGATACGACAACTGCAATCGCGGACCGTCTTCGAATTGCCAGAATTTCGCGTAAGATGGCGCTACCAAACTTCACTGCCTGGTTGGCATTAGCAACTCCTGCGAAATCGACGACGCCAAGTGGTTAGAACGGAAGCCTGTCATGGCACCGTTCGCTCGTCAACTTTGTTGAGCTAGTCAGAATTTCACAGCACCTGGTGGCCTAAAGACGAAGTCGCGAATCGAAAACGTGCTCTGAAAATCACCAATAGTCAGTCAAATTACTCCTGCGCTTAAAGAGTTGCACGAATAAGTACTGGTAAGAATTGAATAGCACTGCATCGGCCCAAGTTTTAACGCTGCAATGAGAGCCAGTATGTTGCGTGGCTCCATAGCACTGCAACGGCTACAAGTAAAGCGGTGCTGTTCAACTCGAACCATTATTAGCGCATCACTATGCACTTGTAACACTTCCTCTAGAATGACCCTCGACAACAAGGCAGATTCGCCGTACACTGCATGAATGCCTATACAGCAAATTTCACACCTTTTGATCGGAGCCACAAAGCCCTTTGAAACAAGGCTTACCAGTTACACTGCCTGAAACTGTTAGTGCAAACATGACAAAAGTGTTGGTTTGCATTTTATATTAAGAGGGTATTGGCAGGCACCAAATGTTACTGTATAGCTTAGTGCTCCAAATGAACAGTTTCCACCCCACTAGCAATTCTGACGACAGCCCATCGACTCTACGAAAAAAACAAAAATAACCGGCAATTGCCCGTTCGCACAAAAGTACCATGCTACGTACAATGTTCCTCCGTGCCGCAATCAGCAGGAGTGGAAGTCTACAGCGTAAACGTTTGCTCCAAACACTTTGCACAAGATAATATATTGTTCGCCAGTTTCAAATAAACCGACTTCTATCACGTCCCACAGAAAACGAGAAAACATTGTTTGATGCAACAAACTAGAGACGATACATTTCAGAAAAGCTAACCACAATCCCATTCCAGGGCTGCCACCACTCACCTCCACCGAAGCAGACGATGCGGCAGCCGCAGCGGACTTGAGCAGACGCACGCCGGCCGACCGGCTGAGCTTGGGCGACCCGTACATGTCTCTTTCCGAGGACATCTTGCGGCGCTCCAGCCTTGGTGAGCGCAGCATATTCGAGATGCCCTCCCGCGTGGACGACGCAAACTTCTTGAGGAACTTGGGGGAGTGGAAGAAACGACTGGGCGACTTGGGTGGCGGGGAGGGCTGCTCCGCGCGACAGTGCATCGCTGGCACACAGCTGCCCGCCCTCACAAACGGCGACGAGAGCTTCTCGCCAGACGGCCCGCGAGTGCGATCAAATCCCTGGCAACAAGACGAACTCCGGGGCGGCCCCTTGTCACGGGGAACCCAGGGGTCCGGGCACCGTTCTTCCGCGGCACCAGTGCCCCCGTCGCGGCGGTACTGGGACGGAATTACGTCCGGATGCGCGGCAGGCACTCCGGCCCGTGCGTAGTCGAGCGCTGACGCGTCCCGCAGGCACGGGGAGGAGTCGCCGAGGTCCGTCGAGAGCGGGACGAGCTCCTGCTGCGAGCCACGCCACGAGTTCCTTCGGTTCGTGTACAGGTCCTTGATCTCTTGGCTTGTCGCGCAGCGCGGGAGGAGGGACGCCTGCGCGGTGGCCTGCGGCTGCGGCGCCGCGTTGGTGGGGATCGGGGACGGAGCGGAGCCGTCCGACGACTGGGTCGGGTCCGGAGACGACGACGACGACGGGGACTTTTTGAAGACCCGGTTGTACTCCCGGTCCAGAAGAGTCTCCTTCTTGGGCGTCGCCTCGGCGACCGAGTCTGCCGTCTTGCTGCGCGACAGCTTCGACGCAGAGGGCCGGCGCTGCACGGGGCGGGACGGCGCCGCTGGCCGGCCGCCGCCGTCGGCCAACCGGCCATCGTTCCGCGTCGCATCCTTCTCCCCGTGCTTGAAGCCGACGTTGACATAGTGGCCCGTCGGAGGCTTGCAGCGCGGATTGGGCGGCTCCCTCCGCGCGGGGGGCGGTCTGTTTCCGAGCGCGTCGCCGTCCCAGACACCAGAAAGCCTCTGCTTCGAATCTGGACGGGGGTCTGTTTGTCCGGCGGAAGAAGTGTCCGTGCCACGGTACGGAGGATTCTGGTAGATGACTGAAGGCGGCAACGGAGAAGACTCGTGACTGAGCGGCTGGTTCAACGGCGGAGATACTGTGTGGTTGCGTGGGAGAGACGCGTTGGATGCGATCGCAATCGGCGGCGGCTCTCCTGTCATTCTTCGCGGAGACAGAGTCGCAGATTTGTCCGCGTGCGTGGACCGTAAGAAAATGGTTCGAGGCATGGGCTTGGGAGACTGCCGGTGGTTGTCGGACGACGGCGGTCCCCTGGCGAAGCCAGAGTTTGAGGTCGGCTGCATCGTCGGGACGCCGGGACAGTCTTTCTTGTCCAAAAAGGCTTCTAGGTCGTCTTCTTCGTCCGTTTCCGACAAGTAAGGCCCTGCGGGCAGAAAGCATTTATGTTAGGCACAGACCAGATGCTGTCAAACGACTTTTGTTTGGGCTAGTTGGTTCTTACTAGACATGATTAAAATAGCGGAAATTTGACAACGACAACAAAGAAGGCACAGTCCTGTTCCACGTGTGCCTTCTTTGTTGTCCTTGTCAAGTTTGCGCTATTTTAATCATGTCCAGATGCTGTCGACAAATTCCCGAGTCTATATTTAGGAATGTGCCTCAAGTTGATTGCCATGCCAGATCCCCAACTACGGTGTGCTAACCGGCTAGATTAGGTTTTGAGGACCAAAATTATAGAAAAGGTAAGCAAAGTGAAATAAAAATAGGAAACCGCAAAAAGTTAATGGTATGCAATCCTTTTCCACATTCACAATCATGACACAAAGTTAGAACCCTACGTTGCCTAATTGCAGCACAGCTTCAGTTATGCAATTGCTAAGAAATATATCCTAAATAAATTTGAGTATACTTCCTTATGCAAGTTTTTATAGAAATATGTGATGTATAATTTTGTAAGTATGATTACTATTTTGGCATTGCCATTGCGAATCTCATCTTTACAGGTGTTTATAAGGCATTACACTACAGTACTTGATTTTAAGACCACCCTGGGATCATAAAAAATCCTATAACTATCTCTGTCTTTTTTTTTTCTTTTCTTTTTTTTTAATAAAAAGAAATTTTGTTTGAAAAGTTTAATTTTGCTGCACCCAATTGAGAGTCACATCAACAGCATTTGACTATGGAGAAGGCACAAAGCCAGTGCTTTTTACCTTGCCTACTGAGGATTCCCCTGGCTGCCATGACTGCTTGGCTAAGTTTAGTCAGCCACCTGCACGAAGACAACAATCAAACTGTCCTTACATTTCCGAGAGCCAAGAGCACTGAACCCTCCGAATGCACAAACGCCACTAACTCACCTCAAAGTGTCGACTTGAGATTCTGAAGCGAAGTAAAAGGTGGCTCCAGAATTGCAGAGCTTGAAGGCACTGCGACAGGCAAGATCGTGCCAATTGTAACTTTATGAATGGCAAGAAAAAACATACATTTTGTAAACGATGTCCCCTTCGTATGACTTGGACGCTTCTTTGTCCATTCATGTTGCTTAGAAATAAATAACTGTGGGGAGGCTACTGTTATAGCAAAAACATAAAGAAATTATAGAATTTCGACTTGGGCTTACAACAACTAAATGCCAGAACGTTTTGTCTCTCCGAGTCTCAGGGTTTACGTTATGGTGTTTCCTAACCAGCTCGTCTGCCTGCTTTCGCTTCTTGCAATTCTTCTCATAAAACTAACACATTCTGTAAAAACTCTGCAGTCTGTCAGAAGTACTAGCTTGCACTGCATAAAGCATCCCATCGAGTCAAGTTAGGTCCTTTTTTTTTTCTTTCAATATTCTCGCTGCGTGAGTTTTGTGGTGAAAGACAAACGGTCTGACTACGGCAAAAATCCCGAGCAAGCACCCACTCAAAATTCAAAGATACAGTCTAAGCTCGTCATAACAGACCTTGATTTTAACCAAAATTTCGGTCTGTTATAAAAAGAGCATGTTGTATGCAGATATGGATTTGAGTCAATGGGGCATAGAGGATAACCAACCGAACTTCACAAATGGGTATGTTATATCCAGATGTCTGTTGTAACCAGGTCTCTTATAACGAGCATAGACTGTAATCACGAAAAAATAGGGGATGGGTGCATGTGAGGTCATCAATTTTACATACATAGGGTGGTCCAAGTCACCAGGCTCGATCTAAAATGGACCGTAAAAATCGACGCCTGCACCTAGCAATCTAAATTTTTGGTCAAAGGTGTATTTCACAGGTCGGTTTTTTCTTGCAAAGTTACAAAGCGTAGTTCTCTTTCTGTAAAAAAATAAGGGCAAGAAACTTGCCAGGGTCTATGGCGGGCAGCGACGCAGACGACAGGGGTTCAGTAGCGGGGTGTGTTTGGCGTTCATATTGATAGATGGCGTCAGGAGCAGTGTCCGAAGGAGCAGCTGACCAGCGAAAGAAAGCAGACGACACGCAGACGATGTACGTCGGCTGCAAAAGCGCCGCCGTTATGCAGACGTGTCTTTTTACTTTCAGTATTGCTTTTATTGTCCGCATTTATTTTTTTTAACCAAAGGTACATTTCAAAAAGATTATGTTCATTTTAATAAGCCACAATGGTCCCGAACCGTCGCGATAAGGACGTAGCGCCATTTATCGATACGAACGCCAAACACACCCCTCTACTGAACCCCTGTCGTCTGGATCGCTGCCCGCCGTAGACCCTGGCAAGTTTCTTGCCCTTATTTTCTACAGAAAGAGAACTACGTTTTGTAATTTTACAAAAACAAAAACCGACCTGTGAAATACACCTTTGACGAAAAGTTTAGATTGCTACGTGCAGGCGTCGATTTTTACGGTTCATTTTAGATCGAGCCTGGTGACTTGGACCACCCTATATATGTACTGTGCATATTTTAGGGGCGAGGCTCCTTAGGGGCTAGCCATGTCCGTATGTCTGTTCGCCTTCGGGTGCACGTGCTCCCGTGCTCGTGTAGTGCAAAAAAAAAAAATGCATCTCCATGTGGTGAATGATGTTGATTCGGGCGAAGCTCTGGTGGTGCTTATCTGCGTAGATGGTGAGCCGCAGCATGCCGAGCCTTTCGTTCGTTTTCATCCATGTCAGAAAGAGAATGTGAAGTATGGGACATGGTTATATACGCATTTGAGCATTTGACCGCAGCGTGACATGGATGAAAACGAACGAAAGGCTCGGCATGCTGCGGTTCAGCGTCTACACAGACAAGCACCACCAGAGCTTCACCCCAATCAACATCATTCACCCCGTGGAGATGCGTTTTTTTTGTTTTTTTTTTCAGGTGTTTCAAATTTTAGGCGAGGGCGCTTGGAGCAGAATGGGCGGATGCACGGTATTCTACGGTAGGCCTCAGAAACAAGCTTTCCTGCCTACTGCAACATATTGTTTTGTTTTATTTTTTTTTCAATTTCTCAAGAATCTCTATGCATCCCATAGCATGCAGTCTACAGATAAATGACATCTAAGAGTTCTCCATAGTGCCTGAAAGTCACAGCTGATTGTTTCTTTTTAATCCTCACTACGACGGCCGAAGAATGAGCCCTGCCCGAGGCAAGAACGCAAAAAACAGAAAGATCTGCTCACCAGTTATTGGATTTACAGTCAGGGGCAAGAGACACCACAAACCCAGGCACAAACAGCAGGCACTCTGCTTTCTGGTCCTGCAAAGACAACAGGCTTTTGTAGCCTTCCAGCTGGTAGACCTAAACTTTAAGTTGATCTGCCTATGAGATTAGTATGATATGATTAGAGTGACCACAATCAGCAAAGCAGACAACGGAAACATTGGGACATTGATGCAAAGTGGGAGAAGGGGAGGGGGGGAGGTGCAAAGGCAGCAAGGCAGATAGAGAAGCTCTGTTATTACTCAGTTCAGCATAAAAATGCACTCTCTGCCCCGTTTCTAAATAATGGGGAACACGTTGCCCATTGAAGCATGTCAATTTCAGTAACATAAAAAAGTCCCCCATACAGACATCTATCTGAACAAAACGTATTGGTAGATGTAACAGAAGAAGGAGCTTAAAATTGTACTCCATGAGTGGTAACATTTCCACAGTATGTTAATTTTCATAAAAATACATCCGTAACAAATAAATATTTTTTAGGTTTTCTTATAGCTGCTTAGTACTAATTTCACAACTATGCACATTCTCATAAAAATGGGACATGAAATTTCATTGAGACGAAATGAAAAGATAGCAGAAAATGACCTGAAACACGGGACACATGGTCACCCTAGATACGATGCCTGCATCACAACAGTTACTGAAAGTTAATCCCGCAGAGTACAGCTCTGACTGGCTGGCTTAGCCCGTGGCAGAAGTTGTCAGTCGGCCATTTTGGAGATGGGTCCAAAACAACAAAAAATGTATATAAAACATTTCCACGTTTCCCCGGTTATGGTGGGTATGCACGGGTGGGAGCTCTGGCCATCGATGAGTTAGGACTGAATGGAAGGTGCATTGATTTTCTCTAGACTTTCTTTTTTTTTTTTTATATCATGTCGCTACAAATCCGGTTCACTAAAGAAGATTGCCGGCTCGCTTGCCCGCTCCGGCTGCGCTGGTGCCACGTTCCAAAGTCTACGCCTCGGACGCCAAGCCTTTCGACCCGTCTTGAGGCGAGAGAAGGAGACGGAACGGTGAGAAGCGAGTCCACACCGCTCGGAACAAAGGAAACAACTTTAATAAAAGCAAACCAATGTCGCCAAAGGCCAGGAAAGTTGATTGAAGAGCTCGCCGAGAACAAACGTTGCACCATTCGCATCTCGTCTCGACAGCACAGGGCGGCGCCGTTTTGGAGCTGGGTTGGAGCGCGACACGGTTCAAAAACGGAGCTTGGGAGTTTTGGTACTCTGGGAACATTCAGTGACTCTAGAGCGGATTTGGTCTTCTGGGCCCAATCAGACAAGTCACATGGATGCCAGGTAGGTAGCTCACCTGCGGGGTCCTGTAGAGAAAAAGGCCCGTGCCCCGCAGCAGAGCCCAGCGCCGGTGCCAGGCCGGCTGCGGCTGCTGCTGCGGCTGCTGGAGCCTCACGACTGGCGTTTTTTGGGCCTTGCGCCGGAGGAGCCACCCCTCGCACTCGGCCACGCCCAGCTCCGGGCACGGCACTCGTCGCTCGCCTGCGCCCCACACGGGGCGTCAACAAAAGCGTGCTTTAGGGCCGGTTTCCGAGCCTAGAGCATCGCGAAGCATAGCGACAGAAATCGCACGGCACAGACAGTTGCGTTTACAAAAGACCATGTTTCCCCCGGCAGGAATTGTACCGCCGACCCTTCGCTCGGCAATCAAACGCCACCTCGCCTGCGCTGGCAGGGTGGGTTTCGTTAGCAGGGCTATAAGTTGATGTAGAGAGTGAGCCTAGTGGACCTTACGCCGTAAAACGAGCCATAAAAAACTGGGCAAGCGCTAGACAACTCGGACACTCGCCGAACGTGCACAGAGATGGTGCATTTTACCCCGTGAAGTTTCGACGTGCAGTTCTCTTCCTGTAAAGAACGAGACTAACAAACTTGTTGGCGACAAACGTAACTCGTGGCACCATCTCCCAACGGAATGCATCGCCTGCTCGCCGCGCCTGTCGGGAGATGGCGCCACGAGTTACATTCGTCGCCAGCTCGGTTGTCTGTGAAAGCACCTACGTGTGGGCGCCGATTTTTCCCGGCTCAACTTTGCATCGCAATGTCCACTGGACGCGCCCCACATGCCTCAAAAAATTTGCCACCTAAATGGTGGGAGAAGCTCCGAACACAGCCGTGCATTCTGCGTTCCTCCGCTTTATCCGATTCATTAAGATACCTTTAAACTTACCTCTTACTTCTCAATTACCGCGTGCAAACTCTGTTCACTTTCGTTCTCAAGTTCTTTGTCCGAGTAGCATTCACAACGAACCCTTCACTTAAAGATCTGTACGGATCCATAGTTTAGAGTCCCAGCCCGCTGTCGCTTTGGCCCACCCGCGGCCCCCTATTCATTTCCGACGGCCACCAGGCCCAGCTTAACGCTAATTTATGTGGGTCCATTTAGGCTCGTTCTATTTTCACCCTACACGAGGGTGATGTGAAAGTTAGCGCCATTTCATTTTCGACCGTGTTCACATTTGCAGCTAAATAGCACGATATCCCGAGATTCTGTATTTTGTTCCAAAACACCAAAAGATAGGCCATTTCAAGTAATTGCACTGCCCGGCCCAATGGTGATTTCGGCGCAAACGAAGAGTTAGGCAGGCAATAAATGCTGACTGGGTAGAACAGTCGTCTTCGATTAATAGAACCCCTTCTGCGATAACAGATTTGAAAGGTTAACAGGACCTATGTGACAAAGTGAACTACATTCTTTTGACAGTGATAGCAACTGCCCGTTTAAAGCTTTTAAGGGTGACTGGACGACACGTAAACACACCTTTATATTCCTTTGCTACAAGATCTTTTTTTTTTTTTTCGATTTTTTTTGGTTATACATTGAACGTCAGCCCACTCCTTGTTTTCACCCGTTTCGCTCTCGATTTTAGGTGGGCTGTCCTGGGACATTATGGTGGGCATTACATGTGTTTCACAAAAAAAAAAGGTAGGACGAACGCAAAACCGCTTGTTTGTGTTAATTAGTCATTAGCATGTGAAAGGAGATTGGCGAATCACTAGAGAAACCAAATTCAGACTAGAGCAATAATATGTTTCTCAATGAGTGCAGGTGACATTTCCCTGCTCAGGATCTGCGCTTCATCGCTGGTCCCCTTTTGCATATCGCAATGATTGACTGTCCACATGCGTTGCTCATTAAATGGTGCGCAAAAAAGTTGACTTAATTTCAAGTACTATGTATCATGTGCTATCATGCAACAGCGTAGAGTCAGCTCACTCTCATGCTAGTCTTTGTGAAAGGATTGCTTAGTCATAGACCAGCAGACACACAAATAATGCTGAAAATGGCAAAAACAAAACAAAAAATAAACACTTGCAACAATTGGTGGAAACTCACCTAGTTTGTCTGAACAATTTGACTTTGTGTGCAAGGCTTGAGACTGCAATGGCAAGCACAAGGAACAAAAGATTGAAGCAAATCAAGTAAAATCAAACGAAAAAAAGAAAACAAAAGGCCGAAAGAGTTTAAAAAGGTGCAATAGTTACTATGTATGTAAACTTTAAGAGCAGCAAAAGCTTTGCCAAACCCGTTTTCCTATGAAGTGGCATATTGACCAAACTCTTACGGCACTTACTGCCACCGGCATACAAGCTAATCAACAAAAAAAAAAGGAATTTAAAATTAACAACAAACTAGGCGCAACAGCATAACAGGCAGAGAGGAAAAGCACGAACTTGCAAAGACAGCACGATGAAATGATAAGCTGAAGTTTTTGCTCTGTTTTGCCAGCATACTATGTTTTTTGTGAAGCTTGAGAATGAGTTTAAAGAAGGGGCAAACAGGGTGCATGCATGCAATAAAAAGCTCATCAGCATGCTGAGTTCTCGGAAAGTGAAGCAATTGGACGGCCTCATTTCAGCCCGCCTCACCTGACATAATGACTTCTTGGACGAGTCCCTGGACGAAAATCCTAGCTTCGATGGCACTTCACTACCGCACAAACTGAAAAATACAAACCATGTGCAGTCAAACGTGGGAATCTGTGCTTTCTAGCATACAATGTTCCTTTCATATATTGGCCTAAAGATTTGATTACACATATAACCAATTGCTTAAATTTGTTTGTAGCATACATAAACAGTTTGCTCGAAGGCCCCATCGCCAGCCAGTCGCGGATGATGTAGACCTAACTCGCGTGAGGGCGACGAGCGCACGGCAACAATTGACCAGAACTCTGATAGTTGCTCTTTTTTTCTTTTTTGTGTGTGTAAGATCAAAAGGAAGCTTTACTGCACCCTGAGAGAGGAACACAACCTCGAGCACCAAGCCTCAATTGGTGCAAATCCACCTGCTTGCTGCAGTCTGACACAATGACCAGAGTGGAACTAAGATATTTACGTCAGTATAACGATTAATGAAGTTAATGAGCAGCATTTAGTTAGTAGCAGACAGCGGAGCGAGCTAAAGCACACTCACCTCGACCCTGGAGCATTCGGTGTCTCCTGCGACTTGGTTTTGCTCGACCGGTCGTGTATGTGGTACTTCTTCAAATCCTGCAACGAAAGATACAGTTCTGCACAAGGGTAGATTGAAAGGTTTCTGGAATGAATATGAAAACAATAAATATCTGATTTATTCTATAATTCCTTCGAAGCTCGACATACTTGGTCCAGCGTTTCTCCAGCTTTTTAATTCTTTCCTGGAAGCAACTTTCTTCGAGATCCCCAAAACAACTGTTAACAGCCTCCATCACCTCTTCATTCGAGAGAAATTTCTTTTCAGCCAGGAAGGTCTTGAGCTTTGGGGATAGGTGGAAGTCCGAGGGAGTGAAATCAGGTGAATACGGTGGATGCTGAAGGATTTTGAACTTCAGCTCTGTCAGGTTTTGCTGAGCGACTGCACTTGAATGGGTGGGTGCATTGTTGTGTTGAAACAACAACTGTTTCTTGACCATTCCCGGGCGTTTTTCTCAAATTACTTGTTTCAACTTGTCCAGAAGTGTTACGTAGTATTGGCCAGTAACAGTTTTTCCCTGTTCGAGATAATAGAGCAAAATTCCTTTGGCATTCGAAAAAAACTGATGCCATCACCTTGCCTGCCGACTGAATGGTCTTTGCCTTCTTTGGACGCCGATTAACCCGGTCAATTGTTTCGATTTACTTTTTGTTTCTGGCATGTAATGGTGGACCCAGATCTCGTCCATAGTTACAAATCGTGGCTTGAAATACATTGGATTTGCTTAAGGGGGGACATGGCCTCGGAATTCGAAATTTTCAGAAAAAAACTTTTTTTCAAAAATGATATGTTTATGCTTATTAACTTCCAAAGAATGGTTTCAGAAACTTTCGTTTATTAACATGCAGGATTTATCTCAGAATAAATTATTTTCGACATGTCAGCAGCCCTCCGAGTCAGCAGGGAGCAAGTTTTCTGCGTTTTTTATTTAGCGCTGCTTCATACTCGTTTAACCTAGCCAGAACATCTCACCCTCATTGGAAGTGCCATTTACTCTAGACTTAGCCCGTAGAGGCTTTCGAAGTTTACAAGTATTAATGGCCAGGAGGACCCATACATCCAAACAGAAAAAATTGTAAAAATTTGGTATGAGCAATCTTATTGGTTGAGATCTGAAACAGGGTTTACGATTGGTCCTTCCCGGTGACGTGATATTCTGTCATCTTCAATAACGCCCCTTTACAGTATCTTCCACCTCAGATCCTATTCCTGCCTTGCTGCTCTTCCTCAGTGTGATTTGCCTCTTAGTTCTTGCGAGTTTATCTGTCAGGGAATGCCTGCTACGAAAGTCAGCGTGCCTACAAACAACACGAACTGGTAGCTATTGCCAGGGGAGCAGGGGAGTCTCCAAGAGGAAGGTGATAACAACGCGCCAGGTGAATTTTGCCTACCTTGGCCTCACAGAAAAGAAAGAAACCTAAAGTTGAAACTTCAAATGCATTTTTCTCAGTTTCACTTTTTGGCAGGAAATGTGGTATGAGGAAATGTATCATTGGACATTTTGAAAGTGTAAAGATTTCATTCAGTGGTGTCCTTGACTGAAATTTCGTGAGGAACAAGTTAAGGTATTCATAATCTGAAAAAGCTAAATTCTTCATGAAAAAAACTGAATATTTTAAAACTCAGAAATTTGTTAAAATTGTTTGCTCTTTTTGAATGTTATTGTTTTTCTCTAGAATTGCATTTTCTACAATTAATTTTTACCTTAACTTGTACTATGGGTATTCTACTTTACATTAAAGCAAACATTTTGTGGATTGCAATTATTATTTTTCTTAAATACATTTCCTAATAAAGCAACTTTTTTCTGGAGCTTGTTAAGCATAGTATGTTGTAGAATTGGCCTATAAGACTGAAACTTTAGATGTCCTCCATCCTAATGGGGTTCAATTCACCCCGAAAGTTTGAATCAATTTGAGACAATGGTTCAAAAGTTGACCCTCCCAGGCCATGTCCCCCCTTAAACACTTGCAAACTGTCGGCTGATGCTCGAACTCGAATGCGTTCTTGCTCCGGATTGAGCAAGTGCGGCATCCATCTTGCAGAAAGATGATTTAATACCAATTCCTTGAGCAAAATATGAACAACTTGTTCAGAAGAGATTCCCACTGGTTCATCAATTTCACTCCCTTTCATGAGGCGGTCTTCCAAAACCAAGGGATACGTTGTATCCACAATTTCTGGTGTGGTAGTTGTTTTCGGATGCCCTGAACGTAGTTCATCACTTGTTTCCGTACGACCACACTTGAATTCAGAAACCCAAAAACTCTTGTTGGAAAACAGAGGCAATGATTCCCCAAGAGCAGCATTCAACCTGGATTTGATTTTAGTTGCAGTTTTTACTTCCAAATAGATATTCGATGACTGCTAGTATTTGATTTTTATCCATCATTGAAAAGGTTCATGGTTGCTCGAATAGAATGACTCAAAGTCAGACTTTTCGAGATATCAATCTGACACTTGTGGCTATTACATACGAAAGGGATGTCAACACAGCGAAATACAAATATATTGGAACAAAAAGCACCCCAGCGGCGATTCCGGAAATTTTTCCATCTAACCTTGTAATTAGCTTGTCGACTAGCTGGCACGACAGGGGTGCTTTTGTGGACGAGCACCATCTTTGCACGAGTCTATAGAAATACAACTTTAACGCTCTCAAAGAACGCCACCCCATGTAAACAGGTACATGGTCAAAAAATGAAGTGGGTAATGTTATGCGGTGCAACAGCAGACAATTATAATAAGCGAAAACACCTACCATAAAGTTCCGAGAAAAAACGCACCCTCAAGAGATCGCCCATCCCGTTTTTCTGGCTAAATATTTGTAACATAAAAAGTCCGAAACATCATCCCGTCGGACGTCACACGATGTCCGACGGGAATCGCATCCGCCGTGCGATCTGCTGTAACGATACGTCCGATAAGAGAGTTCATAGCAGGTTCTTACGTTTTTGTCCGCGATCTGCGTGCCTGATGCAGACTCCCATAACACGCGAGTTGTTCCCGGATGTATAATGCATCGTGAAATGCGAATCTGCTGCAGCCGCGATCTGCAGCATCCGTTCCCGCGACATGAGAGTTTGTAGCAGATTCCCGCGTTTTTGTTTGCGACTTGCGGGTGCGATATTGATTCCCGTAACACGCGAGTTGTGCCTGCGTGTATATTGCATCAAGTTGGTCCCGCGTGTTTTTGGCACCTTGGAATACGATTATTCTGCGACCGCAATCTGCGGTATTCGTTCCCGTGACATGAGAGTTTGTAGCAGATTCTCGCGTTTTTGTCTGTGACCTGCGCGTGCATATTAGTTTCCGTGACAGGAAAGTTTGTAGCAGGTTCCTGCATGTTTTTGCACCATAAAACTTGAATCTGCTGCGTGCGCTATTTGCAATATTCGTTCCCGTGAGGTGAGAGTTCTCGGCGGGTTTCCGGGGGCCCTTCACACAATAAAACACAAATCTGCTGCATCCGCAACCTGCGTTATCCCTTCCCATGACACAAGAGTTTGAACAAATTCCCGTGTGTTTATTGCATCGTGAAACGCGAATCTGGAGTATGTATTCGCAATGCGGAGTATCAGTTCCCGCGTCACATGGTTTGTAGCGGGTGCCCCAGTGTTTATCATTAATTTTTGTCAAAGTTTTTGTTGGCATCCCCAAGGATAGCCCACACCGCGTTTTTCCCCATTTATCTCTTTATTTAGGGAGGGTGTTCCTTCGGAACTTCACGTTACGCAATTTAAAGTACATTGCCACACGCATGACTGAGAGGGAACGCTTTCCCATACTTCTAGAAGATATGAGTTTACCCTTACCCCGAGTGTGAAAGATAAGGAGGCCAATGTGACCTTGCCGAGTCTCATCCTAGCTCACTCTCGAACATTCTAGGTTGAATGTTCAAGATACTGAGCGCAGCAGACAAGGAGCCGAGCGTGGCCTTGCCGACACACTCAGGCACTCTCACAGTCTCGCTCTAGCCGGCTATTACGCCGGCGCCATGACGCTCGCTTCGGCTTTTTCGACGCTCATTCTCTTTTGTTTCTGGCACAAGTTTGCCGATGAAACCTTCATTTTCAGTTTTACGCCAGTTGAGTCTTTCCCGTCCATGACAGTATTTCAATGTGAGCTCGCCAGGTTAAAGGGATACTGAACCGAAATTTCGAGCTCACAAAACAAGGTCGGGCGGATAGGCGGGAAGCTGCAAAACCAAAAAATATCACTCATACGGCGATATATCTAACGGATCGCCGTATTTTTTGGAAAAGAAGTGCGCGATTGAACCCGGCCGACGAGGCGGACGAGGCAAGGCACGTCACGATGCCCATTCTCTCTCCTCCTCGCTACGTCCCGTCAAGCTGGTGAACCGAAGCGAGGAGGAGAGGAGCGAGGCCACTTCTCCTCATTCTCAAATTCTCCCGGAGGACAGTTACGTCAAAGAACTCGCTTGATCGCGCCCTTCTTCTTCAAAAGTATGGCCGTCCGTTAGAGATATCGATATACGAGTGATATTTTGGAGTTCGTAGCTTCCCGTTCAACACTTCTGCAGCCTTACTATGCGAAATCCAAATTTCGGTTCAGTATCCCTTTAACCCTCAAAGGTTAATCTGGGCCGGCTCGGCCACGTTCCTATCAAAAGCCCACTGAACACTACAGTCACTGGGGGGATGTGAACAGCAGGGAGTCTATTTCGGAGGCTTGGCCTTTTGCACGTGCTTGCTGCCTTTTGCCGTGCCTTGGCTGCGCGTGCACGCCCAAAGCTCACGAGACGCATGAGCGTTATCGAAGGCGGGACAACCAAAACTCCACACCGCCATTCCCGTCTTGTCGGCGACTACAGTACACGTAACGAGAGGCCACGGAGACGCCGCACGTTTTTGCCCTCGCCTCGTGGTCACCAGTTCCGGCGAGCTAACCCCGGTAGCTCCAGATGCCTCGACAGAAACCTCCCATTTACGTTAGGGCCGCTGAATGTTCCCGGAGTGTCGAACTCCCGAGCTTCGTTTGGGAACAGCGCCCCAGAGCCGCAACCGAAGACTTTGAAATCGGAGCCACACGTGCGATAGAACTGTGGCGAGCGGAAATGACGGAACCCACTCACCAGCCTATCATGTTCCAACCGGTCCTGTGTGCTTTTCGCTTTTTCTTCCCGGCATCGACACGGCCGACGTTAGACAATCGGAACACTCTATTGGCTCCATTTTCCAGTTCCAACGGATGCTATTGATTGACCGATTGAAAATAGATTTTTAACTTAGGAATACTACTTAGTACTATCGTTACTGGCTCACCAACCTCTACACTCTGTTTCCCCTTAGATGGACCGCAGTGCACGCTATGAGTCATCCCAGCGAATTTGACGCTGTCAAAGCGTCGTCTGATCACGTGCCCCACCCACCTGTGTTTTCCTTCAGAAAGTCACGTGACCTTAAAATGAGTCACAGCATCCACTGCGACTAATTGTAAGGTGAAACGGAGTAGAGAGCACTAAGGTAGCAAATTGGGCCAGTTGGTCCATGCTGTACATGGTGGGGCTGAACAGCTCGGTAAATGCGCACGAAGAGAAGACACAACTACAACAGGACAAAGCTGTACCAGCAACCGAAGTTTAATAGAGGAAAAGGGCACAGAGGAAGCGAGCAAAGTAAGTTAATCGGATTAAAAACACACATAAACATGCTCTGAGTAGAAAGTACCGAGTTCCATGGCAGATGCTACGGGACGCAGTACTCTGGCATTGTTTGATGGTTCTAAGCTATGCAGTGCCCCCTCACATTCCTTTCGCCGGCAGTCGCACCCTGCACAAAAAGGCACGCTCACCTCAATCTTTGGCACTTTGAGGGCAACCATGGGCGACAACTTGCCCGCGGCCGGACCAAACAGCCTCCTTTCCCTCGGAGAGCGGCTTCCGGCGTCCGGATGAGCCTCGTGAACCTGAACCTTGGGCTGCGCACTTGGGACTGCGCAGTTTGCTGGCTTGGCTTGCTCTGGAACAGACGCAGAGGGCGCAACGAAGCAATGATACTGATTGTTACCAGAGTGGTTTCACAAACTGTTTGACAAGAAAAATAGTTTAGAATACTTTGCAGCATATCCACGCTAGAGGTTAATTAATCTAATGATGTTATGTGCTGGGCATCACTGTCTCTTTGTCCCAAAAGGCAACACCATAATGTCACCTTAGTGGTCTTTGTGTTTGCGCAAACCAATTTTTCCGCTCGTCCACGTCTTCTGGACTCTACCATATTTGCTTGAGTAATGGCCACACTTCTTATGAACAGACCCTGTGGGTCTGCTTTTCCGTGCAGCACCGGAATCATAAATCATCGCGATCAACAGAAAAGTGGGCGCAATTTACGGAACAGAAATACTAAAAAATAATGTCTTTACGCACAAATGCTATCTGCTCAGGTCGCATTTTTACGGAGAATCGTGTTCTCGACCTCGATATTCGCTCCGTTTTTTTTATGCAGATTGCAATGATTGGTTTTATGTGTGTTCTGCAGGAAAGTAGATGCAAGGGCGTCCTTCATAAGAAGTGCGGCTATTACTCGAGCAAATACGGTACACAACACAGGTTCCCAACTGAGTTCCCCAGAGTCATGGCTTCCCCAAGCTCCAAAACATATTTTACCTTAAGCAACGCATCTTTCCAGATTAACCACGATTTTAGCAGACCTATGCTGCGGATTGATAGATATCTACGAGCCACACACCCCTCAGTATGTGCAATATTGTTTACAAGGTCCATAAGCTTCTGCACTGTTTTACTGAATCAATGCCTCGAACAAAAAAGGTTCCTTGGCAGCCATTCAAGGCCAATAGGGGATCCTTGAGATTAAAAGCTTCGAGAACTCCCGCAATACAATACACTAAAATCCTTAATTCTTTCACTTTTGAAAATAATGGAACTTAAAGATCACATCAGCCAAAGAGGCTCGTGCATGGTACATGGCAGGTGCTAATGCTCTTTTTAACACAAAGGTATAATAATCATAAAAATTACAGTTATAATTATCCAGATTTTTACGAGGAGAGCAACGAACATTCTGCTAAGAGATCTGCTTCCTACCGAAAGCTTGGCTTCCCATTCCGAGGCATCTGGGAAACGTGTCCCTTTTTCGAGTTCGTTTTAACCCGGGTCTGCTACCTCGGGGCTTGGTTTCAGATATTGCGCCTGGAGACACTTGTGTGAGATACATAATCGTTTGTGATGGGTAACAAGATTAGTATTCGGAAATTTGTTTCTTTCTTATCCGTCTAATGTTTGAAAGGCTAGGTACTCTACTTCGAAGATGCGTGACTCAAGTTTGGAAAAACACCCGGCGAAATCAGCCTGGTAGGCAGTTACTCTCGTCGACCACAAATTTAGCTGAAATCAGCCCTAGCGAAAATCCAACACGCCCATCACCTTCTAAACTGGCTGCAACTCCCCAGCTGTTCAGGGTTCCTGTGCAGATGTTTCGTGTTTATTTTAACTTGAAACATTCTTTGGCTAGGTGTTTGGCATTTCGTGAAGTCTGGATAAAAGCGTGGCCACGATGCTTGACATTGATTGGTTGACGTGTGGGAAAGGAGGAGCGAGGTGTTTGATGCCGATTGGTTAATGGGGAGGTCATGTGACCATGGGGTAGGAGAGGAGGAGTGAGGTAGGCAAAAAATAGTTCAACCATATGTACACACCGAGGGAGAGGGGCTAGAGAGTATGGAAGGTTCTGGAAGATTGCACGGTTTATCAGTCCGATGAGCGGTAGTATCGCTTCATTCTAGGAACAACTGTCAAGTGCACACGTGGTATGCATTAAACTATCCGATGAAGCGCATCCTGAATGTAGTGTACGTGTCTGGCATCTGAAATCTCAGAGTACCGCTAAATGTTTCTGATGCTAGAACATATGCAACGCAACTGCTTAGCAATTTGCCATAATTTTGTTTTCTTCGCCCTGTTTTGAGATGGTTGACTTCAATCAATCAGATTGCTCATTTAGCATATTATTCCGAAGTTCAAACGGAGGTCACAGAATATGCTACCGTGAAATACCGGGCATGTCCCCACGTGCCAACAAGCACCCAGCCGCTACTCCTGAAACGTTTGAACAAAGAACATACCAAGCACCCATACCAGACTTCCGAGCACACCTAGCTAACCGAGATGCTCCTCCGTATCACGCGCATGCTGGTGCAGTGCAGTGAATCTTGACGTACACATGCCGGTGCTAAGCGGTAAAGCCTACCTACCCTAGCTTGTGCCCCTTCTGCTCTTGAACCGAACGATTGCCCCAGTTCCTTCAGATTATTCCGAGATTATCTCCGACTTTTAATTGGGTAAATGCTCGGCATTTTGTGGCTCTCTGGGGTTATTCGGTGGCACTAGAATGACTAAACAAGTTTCGCTTCAGAGTAATAACGCTTCAGCCATCGTAGCACTTTTAAGACCCTCGCTCCCAGTTGTCAGAAACATTGTCTGAAATCGCTACGAGTACTTCTTCGCCCTCTAAAAATGTTAAAACAAATAGCAACGGATAAAAACGGTGTTGCTTGAGCTTTTAGACACCGCATCTAAAGTGTAAGAAGCCGCGTATTTCAAATCATGACGGTCGACGATTGTGCCCACTCTACACCGAGCAGCAAAATGGCGACATCCGCGAGAAAAAGGAGATTGAAGTGAAGATACACTAGGCCAGAGACCCACAAAGGGGGGGTCGCGGGGTCCTCGGAAAGACGGGTTTTTGTTTAATACGGGGTGTTCCAAAAAAACATTTACGGGTTTTTTCTTGCCGCACAAAAATGAACCATGCATAGCCAAACGCTTATTTTTTCCCCAAACCTAGCGCTAGCAGTCCAAACCAGATGCGAGGGTCTCAGAACTAACCGTTATCTCGTTCAAAGAAGTTTTAAGAGATTTTCAGAAAATGCCAACGAAAAAAATGGCGGCCGACGGAGCTCTTGAGTACGCAAAAACTGGCCCCATTTTTCCGTAGAAATTTTTAGAAAATCACTCGGAACTTTTGAATGAAATGGCTATCTCTGAAATTTTGACGTCTGGTGCGGACAACTAGCAGCGGAGAACGAGCGTTCGGCAATGCATAGTTTATTTCTGCGGTAAAAAAAACATCATAAATTTTTGGGGGGACACGTCGTACGACTGGAAGGGACATCAGGGGGCTTGAAAAGTTTGTACACCTCCGCCCTAAGCCACAGGTTTTCAAACTCGGTCCGGAGAAACGTGGGAGTTCCCCAGAACACTCTCGCGAGTTCCTCAACCTCGTAAATTCTCTCAACCGCCCCCAGACCTAAACTAAAGTGCTTTCCCAGTTCAAGCCCAGTTGGCAGCAGCGACGGCCAACAGTTCATGGCACTAAACGCTGAACCACGTATTTGCAGATATCTTGTGCTGCTGCCTCGTCTGTATCATCGGGCAAGGTGCAGGACCGTCGCATCATCTCGGAAACTCTGCTTATCCGTCTGCCCTGCCACGTGCCGCTACGGACCAATCACCTCGCGCATCTACTGGCCTGCGCCGATTACATCATCGAAGCGGTAGCGTAAAAGGGGACCACCATCGACACCACCGTCATTTGGCAGCAGCGACGGCCAACAGTTCACGGCACTAAACGCTGAACCACGTATTTGCAGGTTGGTTCATTATCCTGTTGTCTGACGTGGTTTTTTTTTTTCATTTCTTCTGTCGCTGCTGCCATAGTGTATAGTGTATTGTGCTGGTTTGTTCTGTTTTTGTTTTGTACCTACGATATGGCAAAGGATCTCACCAAAATGTTCACTGAGTTAAAAGAGGACTTAAAGAAAGAAGTAAGAGCGCTGAAAGACTCGTTTGATAGAGACATCCGAGCTGATTTACGTGAAGTTAAGACTAGCATGGACTTCATGAACGGCCAATTCGAACTAATGAAAAAGAAACTGGACGAAGTTCTCAAGGAAAACGTAGCATTAAAAAAGGAAAACGAAGGCCTTCGTCAAACAAATGCAGATTTGCAGAAAGAGATGAAAGAATGTCAGACTAGGCTGCTTCTCTGCGAGCAGTACACGCGAAACGTAAACCTAGAGATTAAAGGCATTCCAAAATGTGATAACGAACAACTCGGAACCGTTCTGACCCAAATCGGTGAGATCATCGGTGAATCGATAACGCACTCCGACATCGAAGTGTGTCATCGTGTACCGACGCGTATCGCTGGAGAAAGCAACATCATCGTCCAGTTTCTAAACCGCCGTAAACGCGATGCTGTACTTGAGAAGGCAAAGAAGAGGCGTATCACTTCTGTTGATCTTGGCCTCTCGCCGGCTTTGCCAGTTTTTGTAAATGAGCACTTATGCCCAGCGCTCAAGCGTCTGCTTGGCAAAGCTATCGGGAGGAAGCGAGAATTTCACTGGAAATTTGTCTGGGCAAAAAATGGAAAGATATTCGCCCGGAAGTCTGACAGCACGCCTATTGTTCAACTTGTGAATGAAGATGATCTCGTCAAAATTTGCTAGATATTGATGTAAATGACTGTCTCGCCAAATGGAAATGCGGTATCACGACTGTATTTTGCCATCCGATGTAATGAAATGCTTACAAACTAAGAACGCTCTTTCTGCATTTCACCTCAATGTGCGCTCTCTCAGAAATAAAGTGGATACATTTGACACATTAATTTCTCATTTTCCATTTCAATTCGACGTCTTTATGCTAACAGAAACATGGTACCATGACCACGATGATATGTATGCCTTGCAAGGCTATACTCATTTTTATTTAAATCGTCAGGTGAAACGCGGAGGAGGTGTTTCCATCTACGTTCGGCAAAACATTAGGTGTGAACTTCTAGCAAGGTATACTGAAATGACAGATGATTTTGAAATACTAACTGTACGAAGTAACAACTTAGTTTTCTCAGTAGTATATAGACCGCCATCGGCGTGTTTTGATAAGTTTAGTTCGTTTCTAGATAGGTATCTTGAATTTATATCTCTAAATAAATTAACCCTTTTTCTTGGTGGAGATTTCAATGTGAACACACTGTTACACTCGACTTTATCATCGCAATTAGATAACATCATCAGTTCCAATGGCTTCGTGAATGTGATCCAGTCTCCCACTAGAATAAATATTTCCTGCTCCAGTGCCCTTGACCTTTTCGTTACCAATATTAGCACAGACGTCCATGACGCTGGTACAATAATTAGTGATATTAGCGATCACATTCCTATATTTATATCCTGTGGGGTTGGCGCTTCCATAGTGAAATCAAATAAAGTATCATATGTTTTTCAAAACATATCCGAGCGCAATTTGGAAAATTTCAGGGTTCAAATTTTGCGCACTGATTGGGGCCCAGTTTATTCTGAAACATGTGCAGATGAGGCGTATAACACATTTATTAGCATCTTTAGCAATGTCTATAGCTCGAATTTTCCCTTATTAACAAAGACAGTCTCTAAAAATATTCGGAAGCCCTGGATCACTCCTCTGCACCTGAAAATGTTAAAAAAGAAGAATCGTTTATATAAGTCTTTTTTAACGTCAAGAGATCCCGATAAACTGATAATTTTCAAGCAATTTCGTAACCGCCTGACATCTGAATTGCGGAAAGCTAAACTGGAGTACCATACACAACTTTTTAACCGAAATTGCAAAAAACGACCAGAATTAGTTTGGAAATCCATAAATGAGGTGTTACACCGTAGTAGACCGCGTAAAGCTATTGGTGAACTTTCTGTTGACGGGAAAAACGTTTCTGGGGCATCACTAGCAGAACACTTCAATAAAGTATTCGTAAACTTAAGCCCGCCGCCAAGTAATGCTAATGCCTTCAGTTTTATACAAGATATAGTACACGAAACAATTTTTTTAGAACCGACTGATGAACACGAAGTATGTTCTATATTTTCGGGTCTTAGCAACAGTAGTAGTTGCGACACAGATGATTTACAAGCTAGACCCGTAAAATTTGTTATAGATATCATCGCCTCTTGCCTGGTGCATATTTTTAACCTTGCCTTGTCACAGGGGACGTTTCCTAGTAGCATGAAATTAGCTAAAGTATCAGTCATATTTAAAGGAGGAGATAAAAATCTACCGACAAACTATAGGCCTATCTCTATACTTCCTATATTTTCCAAAGGATTTGAAACAATTATTTTAAAACGCCTCGATTCTTTCTTTGCTAAACATTCTGTGATTTCGGATTTTCAATATGGTTTTCGCAAAGGAAAGTCAACTGAGTCTGCATTGCTTCAACAAAAAGAAATTATTTTGAAAAATATAGAAAATCGCCTGTTTACCCTTGGTATATTTATAGATTTTAGCAAGGCGTTTGATTTCATAAACCATAACATACTACTTGATAAACTATACTGTTATGGAATACGTGGTGTAACTCTGTCTCTTTTACATTCCTATTTGGAGCACCGCAAGCAATGTGTTGTGATCGATGGTCATACATCGCCTTTTCTTAACATACGATGTGGGGTTCCCCAGGGTAGTATACTAGGGCCAATGTTATTTAATGTGTATATTAATGATATTGTAAATATAAACAAACAAATAAAATACATAATATACGCTGATGATACCAGCCTATTTCTTGCCGAAACGAGTGTTGAAAAATTAATCGTAGACGCAAATGATGTTCTTAGCCAGTTCCTTATATGGTCCAACAACAATGGCCTTAAAATTAACATTCAGAAAACGAAAGCTATAGTTTTTCGACCAAAGAGCAGGGCTCTGCCAATTAATTATAATATTACAATAGGCAGCGTACCAATCGAGTTAGTGAAACAACATAAAACGCTTGGAATAATTTTTTCTGAACATCTTTTGTGGAATGATCATGTCAATTATCTTGTTACGAAGCTGTCTAGGGTGGTTGGAGTTATGTCACACTGCCGCAATATTTTCCCAGTTAACGTGAAATCACAAATCTACAATTCACTATTTCAGTCTTACATTAATTATTGCCATCTTGTTTGGGGGACAACTACACAAACAAACATAGAAAAACTTACTTTACTTCAAAAAAAGATGCTTCGTCATATTGCCAATGAGCACTATCTCGCTCACACCAAACCTTTGTTTGCCAAATATAAAATAATTAATCTTGATAAGATGTATGACTATAGATTACTGCACAGCTTTCGTTTTTCATCTCCTGAGCATGCTTCGCTTTTATGCAAGATGTCAGAGCTCTCCGAACATCCTCGTAGTTTCAACACCCGTCTTTTCGAAAAATGGATAGTACCACGAGCTCGTACTAACTATACTTACCAGTCAATTACATATCGTCTACCTTTATTACTTAATCATTTTCTTAATAATAATACTGATATATATCAAATGGGAAGGAAATCATTACTTATGCATTTCTTGTGAATTGTTCCGTGAAATTTCTTGAGCATATTCATACCTTTGTATAAGTTTTGCATTTTGTACAGTGCTGTTAGAAGTTATGCGTTTTTGTGCGCCTTGTGTTGTTTTGCGTAATTTTCTTCTATATGTAGCTGTATATGTTTTCAATCTGTCACAAGTTCTGCGAATAATTTTTTTTTTCTTTTTGTATAATGCTGTTAGAAGTTGAATGCGTGAAGTGATTACTCAGCGTATTTTTGCATGTAATATCCTTTTGTGTTCTGGATGGATGTCCTGCTGACAAATTTTAGACGGGCCCCAGATCTCGTCAAGCTGCCACTGGCAGCTTTTTGTCTAGGGTCTCCGTTGGCTTAAAGGCCATAAATAAAACGATTGATTGATTGATTGATTATTAGTTCTAAGCCACCCAATCATGCATATACCTATGAACCAAACACTCACTGTTACATTCACAACTGTTCACAAGCTCCGTAGACTTCTGAACTGCTTTGTCGCATCGAGGCCCGACACCGGGAATGGCTCCTCGACCGTGGGTCAAGGCAGATGAGGATTCCTCGAGATTAAAAAACAACCGCATCTCCACGTGGTGAATGATGTTGATTGGGGCGAAGCTCTGGTCGTGCTTGTCTGCGTAGACGCTGAGCCGCAGCATGCCGAGCCTTTCGTTCGTTTTCATCCATGTCACGCTGCGGTCAAATGCTCAGATGCGTATATAACCACGTTCCATACCACACATTCTCTTTCTGACATGGATGAAAACGAACAAGAGGCTCGGCATGCTGCGGCTCACCGTCTACGCAGACAAGCACCACCAGAGCTTCGCCCCAATCAACATCATTCACTACGTGGAGATGCGGTTTTTTCTTTTTTTATCTTCCACGAGCACGGGAGCACAGGAGCGCGTGAGCTCACGAGCAGGAGCACGTGCACCTGACGGCGGACAAACATATGGACATGGCTAGCCCCAAAGGAGCTGTGCCCCAAAAAATTTCAGCCTTTCCACTCTGGTGAAGAAGGAAGATCAGCGAAGCTGTACTATGGTAGGACGACCTCAAGGACGACGCCTAGAGGATGACGTCTAGGACGACGTCTAGAACGACCTCAAGGACGACTTCTAAGACGACATCAGGGACGACGGCTAGGACGACCTCAGGGACGACGCCTAGGACGACCTCAAGGATGACCCCTAGGACGACCTAAAGGACGACTTCTAGGACAACCTCGAGGACAACGTCTAGGACAACCTCGAGAATGACTTCTAGGACGACTTCGAGGACAACCTCTCGGACGACGTTGATGTATAGGAAAACCTAAAGAATGATGTCTAGGACAATCTCAACGACGACCTCTAGGACAACCTCGAGGACGACTTCTAGACAACACCTAGAGAAATTCAGCCTTTCCACTCCGGGGAAAACCAGAGTGGAACGGCTGGAAAGGTTGCCGCCATCACTCATAGATGGTGGAAGCTGTCTAGAGTTTTGTGTAGAGATTTATTTGTCCACGGACACGGTACTGGGGAAACTAGCCCTTTACAGCTCCGCTGTAAAAAGTTTGAGAGCCCCCACTCTAAAATGCAGTCTATTTAGTGGCTCTGGGTCGGGTAGCAACGAGCAAAACTCACCGGCAGCCGCCGGCCCCCGGCAGTCCGCGAGGGGCGGGGAGAGCGCCTCTCCGCCCCGGAGGTGGGCCCTCCCGACAAGCGGCACCACGGCCGAGTCCGAGGCCGTCCTCGCCTTGGGTGTCACCACCTCCACCCTCCGCTGTGCCTCCGCCGCCTGCGTCCCGCCCTCGTCTGCCGCCCCTCCATCTACAACGGCCAGCTTGCCGCCCGATGTGTGGCAGCCGGGGTCGTGGGAGACCGACCGCGAGACCGCGTCCTTCTTCTTGGAGCCCCCGAAGAAGGGGATGCCCCCGGCCACCAGGTCCTGGATGCTGACGGGCGCCTTGGTGACCGTGGGCGAGGCGCCGCTCACCGTAGCCCGCCGGTGGATGGCGGCCCGCGAGCGCGGCGGGAACACCTGAGCCCGGATCGAGGGCACCACCGACGCGCTCGCGGCCACGGCCGCCGCTGCCGCATGGGCTGCCGCTGTCTCGTCCGGCAGAAAGGCCGAGTCGTCGTCTTCCACCTCGCGCAGGACTCTGCGTGGCGGGGGAGGCAGCAGACGGGTGTCAGTCCCGTACGCGATGACAAAGTGCAAAATGCTTAGGCGTGTCTTCGTCGTATTAGAAGAGATTGAAGACGTAAAGCATGCAGTACTAATGAGTTGGGCACGTGCTGCGTGTATGTGACGTCGCTGCGACGCATTACTTTTGACCAACGTGCGTGTCACGTGACATTGTGATGTCACAAGACTTGTCGTTGAGCTCTCATGTCGTGTGATTTCAGTGTGTCACGTGACACGATGTCGAGTCACATGACATCATGGTGTCAAGTTTGGGTGTCATGCGACATCATGGTGTCACGTGACAAGATGTCAAGTCATGTGACATCATGATGTCAAGTGACGCGACATCATTTCCTGCTGTCACGTGACCATGTCGGTCAAGCGTAATGTGTCGCTTTTCTCGCGAGACCCAGCCCTACGACACATTCTGCATGAAAGAAATGAAATTAAACTGCGTTTATATGCAGTAATAGGCCATATGCGAAATTTAGAGCGCCATCTAGTAGCGCGCCGAGAACTACGTCCGCCATCTTGTTAGTGGCGAGAAAACGAAACCAGAGACCCGACCGGCAAAGACCCCATGTAAACAAGCGACCGCGCTTCATGCAAGAGATGCGATGCCAATGATTGCTGCGTTCCGCTGCGGATGCAACGATAAACCTTCGATTCATGCATGACGTGAACGCAAACGTGAACAGGGTTCACCATTTTGCCTATTTTTATGTCACTTGAGACGCAGCTTTTGACAAAAACAATCGGTGACAACGCGAAGAAACATGCGGACGTTATCGCGCTGCGTGAAGCCATTTACAACTATTGAACTGAGCCCTAATCTTTTTTTATAAGTTGTACCAAATTTGTTTATGACCTTTTTTTTATATTTTATGTGCGTTGTAGTGTCGGCCTGCCTTTTTCTTGATGCACAAGCAGCTCAATGCATGCGGACGAGACCAAGGCTGTTAAGTGAGGCAAAAAGTTGGCTGTTTTTATAATCGACGCCACCAACCATAATTGAAGATGCGTACGGTTAACAGTGGTATGGTTAGGTCACGGTGTAGGTTACGTTCATCGCAGTGGCTAAAATTCCATTTTACAACCTCCTTTTCTTTTTTTTTTTCTTTTTGTCGCAGCTGAGGTAGAAATTTTGTTTTTTGCAAAAAAAGTTCGGCGGTAGTTTTGAGAAAGTCACTGCAGTTATTCTGCCAGGGTTGAACAAGTCTTCATTAATAGCGCAACATCCGTCAACTGTGCTTGAGGTCAATGCTATCTGAAGCCAATTTTAGCCCTTTGCAACGCTTGCAAAATATTGCTCTGGGCAGTTTTTTTTTTTAGAAGAACACAGAGTGTTCCACGAAAAAAAATCTCCGCCAGTAAGAACTAAAAAAAAAGGGAAAAAAAACTCATTTTGAGTTATGTATTTGCGTGGAGCAGTATACCGCTAAACAGTACGACTTCAAGCCTATTTGCATCGAAAAAGGAATTAAAAGTGTTCTCAAAGATGAAACGCATGACGGCCTATAGTCCTTTCGGAGGCCTGTGCACACGCTGGCGGCAAGCTTCCACAGCGAAGGCGTAGGGCTTGGTCCGCTGCTTTGACGGTTGTCGCCAGCGTGCAGAGGCCTCTGAGAGTTTTGTCAGACAGTTGCGGTAGGTTATTTAAACTGCTCGTCCACATAACATGGTGGAAGGCGGAAAACAGTTGCTGTGCAATCGCACATTGCCCGTGCGGCTGTCTCCGATGCCTCCACCATGCTTCGGTACCGACAGCGCTTGCCAACATTAAAATGGCGACACTCTCAGTGTTGTCAGACCACAAAGCAATTTCGCATAAGGTCTATTGAAAAGACATCTTAAAGAAATTTTCACGTATCTATCTCAATCCTACGAAAAAGCCAGCAGACACGGGACGTGCGGCACGTTTTGATCTTCTCCGACCATTGGGGCAAGAATGTTTTTATCGGCAATGTGAGCATGTACGTTAATACCCAAAATTATAAGATTGCCTCTCTCGTAACAAAAAACAAATGAAGCATTTTGATCACACCCTCTTCTCGTGTCATTCGTGTCGGTTATCGGACAGAGACACTTGCAGAGGGCTTGCTTGCAATTGTGGCCATATAATCTCTATGCCAATCGTGAGGCCTTTTACAATCGCTGTGCCAATTGTGCGAGGTCACACAATTTCGTTTGTGAGTGCCTGGCGTGTATTGGATTCAAGAGCTGCATCTGTGTTTGGTTTCGAATTTTATTCCCAAGACTGGAACAAAACCCGATACAAGCACAAATCAAGCCGTACTTGGCTTCAGGCTCACACTTAATCGCACGAGACTCACTTGAAGCGACTAAAAATTGATGAACGCGCTCGACAAGGTTTCTAAAAGACTCTATTTACGCTTCCATAGGCGCAAATGAACGAATTCTGTGACCTCAAAGCGTTCAGTGTCTGATATTTTGTAGGAAGCCCAGGATAGAACAAATGGGCAAGGCACGGGAGTCAGTACACTTGGTTTAAAAAAATTCAATACCATGCACGAAGCGTAAGTGGCGAGTTCCGTATTTCCAAACAGCTCGACTGCCAAGACAACAAGTCAGTGGTAATTGGGATAACCGGCGATACATCGGGGAATTATTCTTTCACTTTGGCAAACTAGAGCTCAGAATATAGACACTTCCCACTTTAAAAGCAAGGAAGGGATATTACTTTATGTTTACATGCACTCGCTTTTGCAAATAGAGCATTTATGAAGTTCACAGTTCTTTTATCCTTTAGTCTTTAGGAAGCTATTAAATTACTAAATTACTAAAGACTGTACCATTTCATGGCAGAGAACAGACCTAGGCAGCACGGGGTCAACTGCCCTACAAGCCAAGCATGCTAGATGTCAAAGTATGAAATAATTTGTATGAATTAATATAATGAAAAACCAGCAACTTAGAGGCCAAGGAAATATCTATAGAAACCATGAGTCACAGAAGTTTGATGTAGAGGTGTCTGCAAAGCACTGCGCCATTTGAATTGATTGGCTAGCATCAGCAAGGTGCCAGAAAGCTTACTAGCAGGAGCTTAAGAACAGGCTATGAACACTGGCTACATCAGTAATTCTAAATATTTGTTTTAAAGGGGTTGTTGGGGACCATGAAACTGCTGCAGGAGCCACAGAAAGGACTCTTTTCTTTGAATGAAGGTGGCAGTAGTTGCCAGCCAAACTCACCGAGGACTGGAGGGCTCCTGCTGGATTTTGTTTGGGAAGACCTCCTCGATGTTGACGGCCGGTACCCCGTTCTCAGGCCACATGTGCACCTTGCCGTAGGTCACCTTCTTCAAAGGAATCCTGTAGGGCCTGAGCACAATGACCTGCAGGGAGAACAGAGGATGGTTACAGTATATATAGCACACATTGGAACATAGAGGTATAGGAAGCTTCTGGAGGCGAAATGACGCCACCAGAGGTGAAGCCAGAAGTGTGGAGGGACACGTTCCACACTTCTGGCTTCAGGGCTGGTGGCGTCATGTCACCTCCAGAAGCTTCCTACCCTCCATGCATTGGAACATCAAGCTCTTAGATAAAATCCTCTGTGCTCAAGACTGACAGCCTTGCCCGTGAGAGTCTGTTGCAACCGTTTGTGCTGTACGGTCCAATGCTTTCGTAATAGACACCTTTGCTGCAAAAATGCCCGTTTAACGAAGTAAAACTAAGCCCTGGCCACTTTCCCATAAATTTAATGGGACAACCACAAACCACTACTACTAGATATTGCCGATTAATGAACATTCCCGTTTAACTAACAAAATATGCGGCCCCAAAAGGCGTAAATGACCACTTCTATTATAAATTTTTGGGGTGTGAAGTAATCAATTCAATGCAAATTACTGTACTAGAGTAACACACAAGTGACAAGTCATGGAGCAAACAGCTTGGAAGGATATTATGCAGACTGACAAAAAACATTCTAAATGAATTTGGTTGATCACACTGACCGGCATCAAAGGAACTGCAATATTTGTTGGCAAACTCTGCGGAGAGGACAACAAGGCAGAAATGTCCCCCAAAAAAAACTGAGCTAGGCTCTATGCATTCAGCATAACATAAGAAACAGCATTAAAGAGAAAGGTGATACTGAAAGGAACCTGAAAAATGGACTGGGTGCAGGATAGGACACGCACAAAATACAGTCACCAACTATTTTTTGAACTCCGCAGGGACTGAAGAAACATCCGAATAATAGAGCAGTCCGAAAAATAGACAGATAATAAAACTTGCCTTTATTACGTCTAAGCGGGATTAAAATGCTGTCAATAATGCCTTGCTTCAGGTTATGCCTCTGCTTGCATTCAGCCACTTTCTATTAGCACAAGAGTCGCTGCCTTCTTTTCTAGGGTTACAGTTGAATACTTTCTGCGCTTCTTAGCGACACTTTGCGGCAGCGGAAGAACAGATGGGGCCATGACGTCCAAGCCAGCATAGTCCAAAAACATGATTCACCGAGACGAGATGAGAGGTGCAAGTCCATGACTGCAGAACGGCAAATGAACAAAGAAAAATGGTAGCAACAATGATAATAATGATGCGCAGCTTGAGAAAAAAAAAAGCCATAGCATAGCATCCCCTATACTACTCCGTTTCACGATAACTTGGTGAACTGTGGAGGCTGCGGCTCTTGGGACCCAATAAGGGCGTCAGAGCAAGGCTCGTGACAGCACTCCATGGTTGAGGTCATGGAGGCCTCGTTACCGCCACAGCAAAAGCATTGTCTGCGACAAAAAGTAGTTCTAGGCTTCTTTGTCTCTTAATGGTAACTGAAGTTGCGCGATTGCATCCCTATTGGAACAACAGGAAAAAAAGACAAAGACATGTTACCTTCCAACTTATACTTATTTCCGATGAACCCTTTTCTGAGAACAACATGGTTTTTTAATGATGTTTGAATGATCAAAGCCCTGTAATCAACCGTTTCCACTCCAAATTTCGCCCTTGCATTAGCACCCACAACAGATTCGCCAGTAACTTGAGCGTATGGTTGCCTCATGAACTGTTCCCGAAGAGCTCGCTGCTCTAATGGACGGCAATGTTGCAGCAGAGCACGTTCATCCGACGCTGGTTGGTTTCACAGCAGATGACTCTTGGCCAGCAGACGACAGCCGGTGCGTTTGGGCCTCACATTTGGCGCAGTGACGTACACGCTTCCGTGACGTGGTAACACGGGCCTCGCTCCGACGCTCTTACTGGGTTGTGAGGGCCGTAGCTTCCCCGGTTTGCCAAGTCACGGTGAGACAGAGTATAGCGGTAGGACCTAGCAGTACTGGAGTAGCGCTGCCGAACCGAGCCAATCCATGTGCACCCAACATACAATCTAAAATGGCAGCTTCTCGGCAGTGTTTTCCGTTGATCGCTCGCGTAAATTTTGTCCGAAAAATCGAACTTTCGGACTTCAAGCTGTCTGAAACATTGGCCGGGAATTATATACATTATTGATACCGTCTAGGTCACGGCTCCTCCTTTAGGTCCGAGGTATGAAACAATTCTGAATTATCGGCATCCGAAAAATCGGTTGGCGACAGCACCTATCCCATTATGCATGTTCCTTTCACTTTCATGTTCGTTTGTACATCGAGCATTTCCAGTAAGCTGAAAACGCTCTTAGCTGAACCAGATGACTGGTGAGGAGCAGAGAGCCTCTCCTGGAAAAACGCAGGACGTCGATGGAAATTAACGCAGGACGAGTGCAACTGCGTCCTCACCTGGCCCAGAATGTTAGTGTGCCTGGGCCGTTTCTTCAGCGTAAGCAGGACCTCGGTGGGATGCTCCTGAAGCATGTAGACCAGGTGCTTCAGCTGCCAGCCGACCTGGAGATGGGGGGGAAGAGAACTGGCATTAGGATCCGAAAACGATCACGAAGGAGCCAAAGAAAGGCTCGACAATTGTGTGGGAAGAATACCGGTGTAGCACCCTCTCCCAGCAGCTGCTCTCGTGGAATATTCAGTGCACAAAAACTACCGGGTGTAGGGGTGCTCTTGCCCACGCTCGTTATGCAATAGCTGGCCAAACACATTCCGTGGTCAGCAAGTCACAGCAGCGCAGCGACTGTGCTCAGCTTTACCCCTCGAGCAAAAAACAAAATTTAGTTTTCAATGTTTAGACAAGATGGGTCAACCTGCCGTAGTACGGTGACACTGGTTCGTGCTGCCAATGAGGAATTTAGCAATTGCACTGCAACCGCTAGCCCAGGGCCTTAACGTATATCTCGAAGTGGTGATGAGGATTGTTTGAGGATTGAAGCCAAGCGACCTTGTGTTCTGCAGTGCAAGTTTTCACTCCACATGCTCCGAGCCTTTGTGTCCTAACGGACTAGGCCACCCATCTCTAATGACCTTAAATGAGCCTTGGCAACTGTTCCCACAGGATTACAAAGTTCGAGCACCACTCCCTGTGTGAAATGTGACGCATAAGCATTCCTCAGGAGATGACAGCACTAGACGATGGCAGTCTACAAAATCCTACGCGCACGAAGAGCCACTCGTTCCCAAGGGGGTCCTGCTGCCATTGGCACCCACTCACCACCGTCTGATAGTTGATCTGGACAATCTCGTCGCCGACGTCGACCTTGCCGCACCGATGGCTCGGGCTCTGAAACTTCACTCCGCCAACAATGTGTATTCCGGAGTAGGACGAGTTGATCTGCATGCCCTGTGACCAAAACAAACAATCAGATGTCATTCTTCCAGAGCCAGGGAACACTCAGAGTCAACCAAAGAAGCTATAGTTCCAAATCAACTTCTTGCATTCTACAGCATGTAAACTAACGCTTCTGAGGCAATTTAGACAGCCCGCAATAATTTGCGGGCTGTCTAAATTTCTCAACGTACCGTGTTTCTCAACGTACCGTGCTGCAATTTACCACGGAGGTGCAAGCAGGAGGTGGAAGTTTACGATGATAAAATCGAGGAATGAACCTACCTCGTTCAAAAGTAAAAATGGAAAAACCCGTTCTGGGCAATTTACGCCGCCACTTCTCAGACGATGCATGTGTAGAAAAAACTGCTGCCGAGAGATGGCATACATAGCGTCGAGCGATTGCCGGCCGATACAGGCTCCTTTGCGGGATCAACTGCTATTATGATCCGAATCGGCCGGTGCTTTCTCCACGCGGCGTATGTCGTCTGTCAGCGGCACTTCTCCCTACGCAGACATCGTCTGCGAACTGGCAGCGTAGACTACCCTGAACGGGTTTCTGTTATGTTTTTTAACCTTTTGAACGAGGTAAGTTTATTGCAGGCGTTTTTCCGACACTTAGACGCACGGGCCTTATTTGTAAACAGCATGGCTATTATTTGAGCAGATACGGTGTCTTTTGCTGAACTGCATCTTAAAAAAAATTCACAGCCCTTTCTAAGACACAGACTTATGCCAAAAAATGTGTTCTTTAAGGGCATCGCAGTCATGCCAAATAAGGACACCTGTATTCCCGGCACCGTGGGCAATGCAGCAGGAGCGAGGTGTTGACACGCAACGTGGAGGCGTGGCTTTCACGAGACTTCGCGGCACGGCTGGACCGAGAGGAATCAACTTGGCAGCTGGCCAACAACATGGCAGCTGCCGTTTTCTAAACTCTCTTTATAACGCTCTTTTGTAATGCTTTTTTGACGCCGGAAGCCAAGGCAACAACGAAAGAAAATCTTTCCGTGATTTAAAAAGTGAGGGGGCCTACCCATTCCTCCTCGGGTTTCTTTTTGACGGTGGCAACGTCCAGGGAGGCTGGCTGGATGATGAGGGAGTCGTTGCACTCTTGGATGATCATGTCGCACAGGTCAGCCAAGTTCTTGCACTGCGAGCAAGCATGGAAACGCGAGATGAGTGCCAGCACTGCGGAGGTCCTTAGGTAGTCAGCAGACACTGCACCCCCAAAGCACAAGTGACACGAACGCTTATGTAACGTTCCGGATACAAGGCACTCACAACATAAAAATGAACAACACGACAGTCGGAGGAACTCGGCCACACGCAAAGAACAAGGAATACAAAATGCATTGCCAAAAATGTGCTTACTGGGACCGTGCAACACCTAAAGGGGGCGCACCGCTCTTTTGTGGAAACTGGTTGGCTTGGCAGCGCCACCAACGACAGCGTCCGTGTTATGACGCATGACAAAACCCCACTCGCTCAGACCCCTTCTAATGCGCCCGCGACGTCTTGGCCGCGTCTGCGCCTTCTCACGGCCGTGTTTCTTGGTCTTGCTCCAGAGTAAAGGCTTGGCACCTTGAAATTCGGAAACCTACCCGCATCCAGCATTGCTCTGTACGAGTTTTCATGTCGTTCGACCCGCAGGAGTCGCTCGGAGCTAGGGTTTTGTCGTGCATCTCGCAGCTGTGAGGTGCAACGAACGGCAATGCGGCGTCATGTTTTTAGTTTATTTGCGCCAGAATATGCCTCCACGAAGCATTTGTGGGCTGGACGGTCAAGAAATTGCTACAGCACGACGTTCGTCGGTGCCGGTAATTGATGAATCTTACGCCAAAAGTATTTTTCGCTCTCCTTATCGGATTGCTCCACGCTCGCCGGCTGATCGAATACACTTACTGAGATCGAGACCATCGCGAAGGTTTTCGCTGGAACATGGAGGAATTCTGCATTCTCGATTTCCGGGTCTCGTGCAAAAAAGGATAGCGCCGAGTATGCCCCCAAACGTTTCGTATCGCGCTGTGCTTCGGTAAGCCGACGTTCGTTAGAAACAAAGGTTGGCTGCCACACAGGATGTCTATGTCAGACCGGCTGTGTTCAATACGAAATGCTTCTGCTAGGAGCCGCGCAGTGGTGCCACCATCTCGTTGCTCGCTTCCAATATGCATTCACGATTAGTTTTGTGACAGCTTGCACATTAACTCTTCCTTGACCGTGCCCGTAGAGCGTCAGTGACCTGAATCTCGTAAACAAAGGGTGCAGATATTCGTTTTAGAGCTCCCACGTTATTCGCACACTCACTGCCTTTTCCCATAGGTAGTTTGAAGACTAGAGTTTTGGTTTCTGATTTTTTTATTTCTCTTTCGGCTCGACAGCAATTTTTAAGCGGAGCACCAAGCCGGCGGCACCTCATCGTTGTTGACACGAGTCTGGGTCCGGCGTGCTGTCAGCGTGGCAACTTTCGTAAATCCTTCGTAGAATTTTTCGACTAGGATAGCGGCGTGGGTCCGACGATGAAGCCGGTTCATCATAATTGAGTTCCTGTGGCCTGTGCTTCACCACATTGAGAAACCGCTTGGTCCAATGGCATGTCAGTCAAGGGGCTTATCTGATTCTCAGAGGCTCAAAAGCTAGAACTCTAGGCTTTGCAAAAATTTTTGTTGTTAAAATGAAAAAAAATATATATATATTTTAATATTTCATTTTACTCTTTTTTTTTGTGTGTGTGTGATGTAGCCATATTTATTTGGTTTGCATCAGTTTTTATAAAAAACATTCCGTTTGACGAATCAAATCTTGCATGAGAATTCAGGTCTCTGCTTCGACGTTCACATCGTTCAAAAGCCAGCTTATCAGGTTCATTTCCATGTATGGTATCACATTGCAAAACTAATAGTTTCCCTATGAAAAAAAGAGCAACAAAAAGCTACACAAAACAGGCATTACTCCTATTGTCAGGAAAGAGTTCATCAATGCCATATAAGTTTATAGCAGTTATTCTAAATTAAGCTTCACAAAGACAAGTCATGGAACTTGTTGGCTTACAAAGAATAAGAAACAAACAAGGCTTTGGTGGGGCATATATGTTCACGTAAATTGAGGTCTAGTTCTGTGATGATATACACTTACACTGCATCTGGTGCTGTCTTGAAGCTTAATGGCTTACAAAGAACAATGAATTATCATTGGTGCACACTTGCAGATCTAGTAGCTTTGCAGCATCATTGCACATTCAGAATGGGGCATGTAAACAACAGTGAAACCTTTGTAACCTCGGGCACAGGCTCGCTGAGCATCAGCGTAGCACATGTCCCACAATGGCCACTTCTGTATGTGATTCGGTCACATGTAGAGGTGAGTAAGCGTCCGACTCGGGAAAGTTCCACGTCAGAGTGTGGAAGTTCCTGGACTAAGCCTTCCATACGCTGACGACGCATCACCGGCTGTGGGTCACGAGAAATATTTGTGGCTCGATAAGAAACCAAGCAAAGGTCGGGCAACTTACGCTGTTCTGTATGACTGCAAACGGCTTGTCTGCAAAGTGGTCCCTCTGTGCCGTGGATGCCAGCTCTATGCCCAGCTTGAGGACAGTCTTGCGGATGTTGAAGTAGCGCTCCTGCCCTTCAAATGGAGCCCTGCGCTCGAGGTACGGCAACACAACGACTTTAAAGATGGAGCGATGAGACCGTGCAATTGTACGTGCACACATTTCTTGTCGCCAGCAATGTAGCATTACCGACCATAATATCCTGAGAGATGAATAACCCACCCCTTTTTTTGGCATGATATGCTATTTTATCAATAAAACCGGAAGATAGCCTACTTCTTGTAACTGTAGGACCTTGGCCAATGGCGGCCTCGGTGATAATGGTACTACTTAGTCGCGGCGGGAGATGAGCAAACACTGTCGACTAGGAGGGGCAGCCGTCTTTTAGTTCATCGCCCCTTGCTGCAATCACAAGTTTTGCAGGTCACAGAATCTAAAACTAGCATTCTTTCAACTTTTTTTTACAGCGGAGCTGTTAAGGGTTAGGTTCCCCAGGATTGTGTCCGGTACCAAAATCTTGTCGACACAAACCTCCACAAACCTCTGGACAGCTACCGCCATCTATAAGCAACGGTGGCAAGCACACAACCAGTCTGGTTGCCGCCATCGCTCGTCGATGGCGGCAACCTTTCCAGTTATCATAGAAGAATGGATAGTTGGGCGAGTTGGTGGGAATTCATCGTAGGAAACAGCGCGCAAAACAGACGAGGACGAAGAAGAAACACACGAGACGAGCGCAACGCTCGTCACATGTGTTTCTTCGTCCTCGTCTGTTTTGCACGCTGTTTCGTATGCTCTTATCAGTTTCAGTTTAGACTCAGGATGGGCCGTGCGCGTGCCCTTTCGCAGAAAAAAGATTGGGTGCAGAAAGAGCGGCGACGTATGCACCGACGCGAAGCCGCTGTTGCCTCGACTTCCACTGCGTCCATCGCTCCAGACTCACTTGCGAAAGAACAGCACATCGCTTGCCTGGAGAGCCGCCGTTGAGAACAGAGCCAGCGATGTAAACGGCGCCGGCAGGCTACGAAGGCCAAGCGCAAGCGCGAGGCCCGGCGACGACTGCACTCCACGCCTGCTGAACTGTTCCCGGGTGTGACGGTGAAGTTCCGGAGGGAGTTCATAGAGAATCCGTTTGGCGTCACGTGCGCCGTGTGCGACCGACACCGACTCTGGTTCGCCGGAGGCTTATCCACGATCGGCGGCGTGTCAGACAACAAGAATCGGGAAACGAGCGCGTGCGCGTTCCAGCAGCATATAGAGTCGGCGGACGTCTACAAAGAACAGGCGTGCAGAACGTGTCGAGATTCCCTGATCAAAGGCGCGGTGCCCTGGTTCGCGACCGTGAACAGCTGCAAGTACCCACCTGTACCTGAGCACCTGCCGAGGTTGAACGTGGTGGAGGAATGACTAGTGGCGTCTCGACTCCCATTCATGAGCCTTCGGCGGTTGACGTGGTATAACAAAGACAACCGGGGACAATACGGTTCTCACATAACCAATTACTTAATCACACCTCAATCCTTACATTTATAAATACTTAATTTTCACCATTGTACAGCTTCGCTAGTTTTCTTTCTTCACGAGAGTGGAAAGGCTGAAAGTTTTTTTTGATTGCATATTGAAAGTTAGCTTAATTCCTATTTTCACTAGATTTGCTTTCCATTTTAGGTGGGCCATCTCTCGGGAAATTACGGTATGCGGTGTTCTAGAACACCTCAATTAAGGGGTGTTCACACTGAGCTACTGGGTTTTTACATCTAATAAATAAGGCCCCATGCTACTACATCCAGTGCCAATACTCCATTGGTGCTAACATTACTGTTTACATTACTTTTAGTGAATGGGTTTCCTGGAAGCTGCCTTTTAGTAAAACATTGGCAGCGACTCCAAGCTTTCCACAAGTTCCTTTTCAAGTTTAACCAAACAACCATATTGGTCAAACATTCTGGTGCTTTTAGCTGTTGCATGTGTGTGCCCTTCGTCTGCCTTTGTGGTCAAACAAGGTTAAACATAGCTGGCTTGGGAGCCCTGCTAATAAAAATGCAGTGGACCTTTCCTCCTCCAATCCGGAGTTGTTCTCCAAGTCTAATTGATGTGGACAGTTTGTGATTCATTCGATATAACAAAATGTCACTCAGTACAAAAAGAGCCATAGTATTTATCAGATTTTTCTGAAATCGGCAATACCCAAGACTCAAAACACTGTTCTCAGCTTCGAACGCACATGCGCATAAAAAATGTGTCTAGATTCAAAGCTATAAGTCTTTTTCCCATAAGGACTGTCAGTCAGCTCCAACCACTCCTAAACCGAAACACAGAGAGGGTGCAGTCGAGCCGGTATAAGCTTACCATTTTGTTAAAACACCTGAGACTGGGTGAGAAAACTTGAAAAAACAAAAGTAGAAGAGACAGGGTAAGAAGTCAGTCAGACAATGTCTCAAACGTCGTCTGACTGAATTCTTTCCCTCTCTTCTACTTTTGGTTTTTCAAGTTTTCTCACCCAGACTCGGGTGTTTTAACAAAATGGTACACTCCTAAACCAACTTTTTAATATAGCCAATGGACGAGCTTTAGGGGGCTCTTTTTAAAATGATGGGACTTGATTTTGACCTGCTAGAAGGAACTCCTCTCAATTTTTGTTATTGAGAAAAAAATGCAATTCCCTTTAGAACCGTCTAGGAAAATCACAAGTCAGATATTACGGTTTAAATCCCTTGGCCGGCAATGTATGACATGCACCGAGTCAATGAAGACTCTACTGTTAGCAGGCGGCCTGCTGCGCTACCTAAGTCACATATGCTGCGACTCTTCGTGCTTAGTTTTCCACCTTTCCAGAAAAAGCCAGTGCCGCATTGGCACCACCATGGAATGCAGCAGATCCCACGATCTCATGGACCTTGCACCGTGTCCTTCTGCATTGTCAGTCGCAGCCAAAGTTTTTAGACTCAGTTTGGGATCGCGTCTAAGGCAACACAGCACGAAAACAGTTCTAGTGCTCGTGAAATAACTGCTGTATGGCTTTTTGTTAGTATTTCTCAATGTGAAATTACCCACCATCCCAAAATTTCTTAAATTTAACAAAAAACTGCTTTTTTAAAGACTATTATTATGCTTGACGGGACAAGAACAGCAGGGCATGTCTTTTGGACGCTCAACCTCCAGTATGCGCTCACTGCGCCATCCGTCGATCCAACCATTACGAGAAGCCGAAGCATTGTTGAAGGTACCCGGCTCGTGCAGGTGGCGGACAACTGAAAAACCTCTCTGCCACTCTTATCTTGCTAGTGGCTGCAGCCCAGATTTCTTTCTCACAGCGGACAGACTCGGTGGCAATCAGTTCGTCGATCAACGTTTTGTCGACAGATTGTTTCGTCGACATACAACGTTTCATTGACAATTCGTTTCGTCAAAAGGCTTCCCACGTTTGTTTCATTGACAGACCTTGTAACATTCGGTCAAGCACAACCCTGCTGTTTTTGCAACAAACTTTTTACATCTTTCCTGGTTTATGGAGGGAGAGAGAAGGGGGGGGAGACCCAAGGTTTGGGTAAACACACCTCAGTGAATCACATGCTAGCTTTCAGCGGCTTGGTCAAAGAAGTATGTTGTCGACAAAACGTCGCAGGGGGATATGTCCACAAAACTAGCTTCCACAAAACACGGTGTCCACAAACCATGTGTCCTCGAAACATGTTTCCACAGGCCGTCTTTCCACGAAACGATAGGGACTCGAACCTACTGCCCTACCCCAGCACAGCAGCACCCCAGGCGCATAAAATGTGGAATAAAACGAGCTTTCAATCAATCTCCAACAAAGCATGCTGGCGCCTGGCCAAGACGGCTGGGTAAACGAGAGCTCACGACACTAGAGCGCCGATGAGAGCACACGACAGGAGAGCACCACGACAGAAGAGAAGAGTGCACAACAGGACAGCGCACGACAGGAAAGCGCCGCAACATGGGAGCGCGTGTCACTACAGCGTGCGTCACGAGAGCGCGTGTCATTAAAGCGTGCGTCCCGAGAGTGCGTCACGAGAGTGCCTTGGGAATGATCGATATTGGGGTCTTCAAACACCTGTTTCCACTGAACTTAAATGTTTACACCAAAGGGTGTCACATTTCAAACTCTTGATGTCATTTAATTGGCTGAGTAGGCAGACCTGTGGGAAGTCATTACCACACAGTTGTCATCGCTGCCGCTCATAGAATGCTCCTTTCGAAATCGGTCACTACTTTTCGCTCTCGAGACAATTCTACTTGCCATTTTTGTCCCCCAAAAACAAAAATTCAATTCACATATCAATATCGATGAAAAAAAAAAAAATTGCTTTGGCAATCAGTTTTTTTTGTTAGGTTACTACGTAGAATACCGTGCATCCGCCCATACCACATTAAGCGCCCATACCCAAATTTGCAAAATCTGAGAAAATATGCACAGACCATTTATATGTAGAATTGATGACCGGACAAGCGTCCATCCCCCATTTTTTCATGAATATCTCAATATTTTGAGTGGGCGCTTGCCTGGTATTTTACGGTAAACATTTTAGTTCTTTACTGAGAGTAAGGCTAGAGGAGCTTACCATGTGCGCAGGTGCTACATCATTATCACGTTTAATTCCGGCAAACGTCGAGAAATTGTAGAATTTTGAAAGTGCTAGAAATCAATTTGTTTGTTCCTATGATTAATGACAAATTATGAAGATGCACTCCCATATTGTACAGTGCTGGATAAGAGTTAATTTAATGTATAACAACTGAGTTACTACAGCAGGGGATTCGATACTTGAACGTTCTGCCAAGGGAAAAAGCACCCTGTACTCTGTTTCACCTTGCGTTGTACCGCAGGCTACAAGCGCGAGCTCCTTGCTCTAGGGCACATCTCGGCGGCACAAGCTCTCGTACACCAAGGCAGCTGTTAACGCTAGGAGCTCGTGCTTTTAGCCTTTGCTGCGGTGCAACATAAGGTGAAACAGAGTATAGTGACTGCAGCTGTTGTTTAAGGCTTTCGTGGCGCACACTCTAATGACACGCGCTCTCATGTTGTGGTGCTCTCCTGCCAAACGTTCTGGTGTCGCAGCACTCTGCTGTCATGCACTCTTGTGTCTTGCGCTCTCGTGGCACCCTCCCGGCCAAGACGGGGGGGGCAAGACCGACCTGTCGAGCCAGGAGACGAAGGACTTGACGGCCATCAGGACCTCCGAGACGTCGGCCAGGATGCTGGTGGCAATCTTGGGCACGTTGTCCTGGTTGGGCGGAGTGATGCGCATCATGTCGTTGTACAGGCTGCGTGCCCTGCAGCCCAGCTTCAGGGCCAGCGACTGGAGGTTCTCTGTGATGAGCCGGTAGTGCTGCGGGGCAGAGAACAAGACCCCTTCAAGACTGCCAACCAAGTGATTCCTCGTAAGTTTGGCCATCAGCAAGACGATGTCGCGTACAGAACCATGGCATCCGTGAAAAAGTATTTAGACCATTTCTTTTACCCCAAAAATAAACTATCCGTTGTCAAATGCCCAGTCTCCATCCAAATGCAGCTGTAGTAATCTGGGCCAGATGTCAAAGCTTCAAAGCTTGCCATTATCTAAGTTAAAAATTAAGCAGTTTTCTTACAATATTTGTTTCAATGAGAAAATGGCAGCCGGCAAAGCCCCAAAAACATGGAAATAAAAGGAAATACAGGAAACAGGCCCCATTTTCTCATTGAAAATTTCCAAAAATCACTTCTTATTTTTGAGTTAGATAATGGCAAGCTCTGAAACTTTGGCATCTGGTCCAGAATGCTAGTGCTACATTTGGGCCTGAGCATTCTGTGATACATAGTTTATTTTTGCCGGCCAAATTGGAGAATTTTAGGGAAGAAAAGGCCAAGGGCTTCCTCTCCCTCCTCCTCCCCCAGCTAGTTATGTGCCTGATCAAACATGCAGTGCTAAACTAGACTATAGTCAGACACAAGTTAAAAATGCACCAAATAAGCACCACCACGCAACAGCCACGCCATCGAATCGCTTTGGGGAGCAACCAGGAGAGGCAGCAGCCATTACGACTTATGTAACATTTACGCAATGTCTACCTCGGTTGCAGACCGTATGCGCATTGTGCATACGGTCTACCCTCATTGCCACCACCGTGGCTGGTGGCAATGAGGGTGGGGGAGGAACTTCTGGTGCATTCTGAATGCATATCTGACTAGAGAATAGAGAGCTGCACAGTGGAGTCAAGCTTCATTAGTCACTTCACTACCTATAGACAATGACACTACCTGTGATCCCAGAACTGTACTGCACACCTTCTGTGGCCTATTTTTTTAGACATGACCAGTACTATCTTATGTGCACTCCAGACAATTCAATAAAAAGGCTAAACAGAATTACATACTGTAAAACCCTTTGTTTTTGGGGCCCCTATTTTTCGCGAATCAGTTTCAGAGGGCATAATCACGGCTACTAAATTTCGCGAATCGCACATGTTTGCATTGAAACTCTTCAGGATCGAAATTTCCGCATGCCCGTCAATTTTGCAAATTTCTCAATTTGGAAAATTCACGAAAATTAAGGGATTGCGAACATTAAGGCTTTTACAGTACCTGCCAAGTTCTAAGAAATCAAATCCAGAGAATTTCTAAGCAGGGTGGCGTTTTTTTTTTGTTTTTTTTTTTTAATGTTGACAACAAATTTACAAAAGACAACTTCATTACATTTATATTGCACTGCTCATGCTAGCAAGATACAGCTGGGCCTTGCACTATCATTGCAGCCATCTGTTGCAAAGGTAACAAGATGTCGTTTTCCAGGAGATTTTTCTGTCAATCGTAAAACCAAAGAAACTAGTCAATATTCAGAAGTCTTCTGGGTAATATGAGAGACTTGGCAGGTATGAAATTATCTGCAAAAGAAGCTGCTAGCAAAAGAAAGATTAGCCCGTTTCAGAAATTCTGCTATCAGCCCAGCTTGTTTTGTTTGCGACCAGTAATAGGATTTGAGATAAGACAGCCTGAAAGGACATTTTCTTTTTTCTGTAATCTACTCTGTGGGGTTTTTCTGGAGTCCAATCTTTAAATGGGAAAATAAAAGTGAAAAGGTTCAAACACAAAAAACTTAACCAAAGAAAATGTTTGCCAATAATAATAGTTGGTGCTAATTACGGCAGAGTTACAGGAAAGTGTCAGGTTTGCCAGCATGTAATCTAACTATGGCCCAAAGTTCAATCTGATTTAGCGACCCTGCAGATTATGCCGATCTTAAAGAGACACTGACAAGATATCTATGCTTTACCGAGATTTCTAGTAAAACACAATCTATGAGATTTTAACTACCCAGAAAAACTGTGTGACCCTCGAAATTTGGCTTTATTTTGGGAAAAAACAGCCAGTCGAGAATCAGATAGGTGGTCAGGTCTACGCCCTTTTCTCCATAGATACATGCAGTGATCACAGAGTGCACAAAATACTTTCTAAGTTCCAGGCCACTGAGGCACATATTTATAATAAAAGCAATATAATCAATGAAACATACTTTTTACGATGACTAAAATGGAAGAAATGCACTGGTTTAGCTAAATTGTGTGCTCACAGTTGTTGGAAGCGATTTTCCATGACTTTCATAGACTTTGATATGAGGGTTCGGTTTGACTTTGTACTTTTTTCTAGGTTAGTATGCGATCCTGTGGCGCAAAGGATTATGAGAAGTGTCTGGACACTTTAGTCAAGCATCATGAGCCGAAAAGGTCAGTGTCTCTGTGTTGAAAGAAATGTCCTTTAATCTAGGGTCACATTTCAAGCCACAGTGTGTTTTGCTTTCCACATATACTTGCAAAATTGGCCCTGAGCACTAGATGAGAGCAGAAACTCTTTTTGATATTGAACCAGTGTGGACAAAGGCATTGCTTGTAAATACTTTCCACTTTCATCTTGCGGACTTTCAGCGCTGAATTTAAAGTACCTATTTCTAATTTTATTTTGTAGCAGTATTTTTTTTTTCATAATACCTTGAAGGCTTTATTACAGGGCATTACACAAGGGAAGGGAAACTAAAAGTTTCAATATAGAAACATAGTAATACAAACTCGTGAGCAGCGACACAAGGGATGGGAAACTAAACATTTCAATATAGAAACAGTAGTAAAAGCCCGTGAGCAGCGATAACAAAAATAGAAATAAACACACAAAAAGAAGGAAGGGCACGTTATTAACATGCTAAGACTCAGCATCGTTTGCACAAGGATATAAATAAGCACTCCATTCTAATATTGTCAAAGGGAGAAAAGAATTGGCATAGGAGATGGTGGAGGCAAATATGGGCTCTATTTTACAGCTGTTGTCTAGTCTTGGGAAATGAGACGTTAGAGTAGAAGTTTTCGAAGCGTAGGGTTGCAGTGGTAGATTTTGTAAAACCGAGTTAATTGAGATATCTTCCCCAGGAAGATTCGCTCGCTCTCGCAAACTAGAAACACTAATGTAAAAAGAATAATCAGAAAAAATAAGTCTCAGACCTCTATTTTGCACACTTTCCAGTTCCCGTTTAAGGTAGTTTTGCCACGGGGACCATACGGATGCAGCGTACTCTTGCTTTGGGCGGACTAAATTTAGGTATGCAATCTGTTTCACTCTAGGAGGAGAGAGTCTTAAGTTCCTTCGTAGAAAGCCCAGTGTGCTATTCGCCTTAGCGATTATGTGATTAATATGAGTGACCCATGCTAAATTGCTAGTTATATTAATTTTTTTCTTTTTCAGAGCGCAGCTCTTAGGCGCCCGATTCCGGCTTGAGCGGCGTCGGCGTCACCGTTGCCGTCGCCGTAATTGCACGGTGCATTATGGGTAAATTCCCCGCTAAATTTAGCGGAAAAAAATTACCCCCTAAATTTAGCGGAAAAAGTTTTCCCGCTAAATTTAGCAGAAAAGATCTCCCCGATAAATTTAGCGGAAAAATTTTCCCACTAAATTTAGCGGAAAATTTTCCACACTAAATTTGGCGGAAAAATTTCTTCACTAAATTTAGCGGAAAAAATTTTCCCCGCCAAATTTAGCGGGAAAAATTTCTCCACTAAATTTAGCAAAAAAATTTTCCCACTAAAACTAGTGCAAAAAAAGTCCTGCTAATTTTGAGGGGGAATTTTTTCCACTAAATTTAGGGGGAAAATTTCCCACTAAACTTAGTGGGAAAATTTCCCCGCTAAATTTAGCAGAAACATTTACCCACTAGATTTAGCAGAAAAAATTCCCCGCTAAATATAGCGGAAAAAAATTTAGCAGAAAAAACTCTCCGCCAAATTTAGTGGAAAACTTTCCCCTAAATGGGAGGCGAGCAGGAGAGGAGGAGGGGCATACCCTCCTCTCCGTACCTTCCCCTCCTCCTCCTCAAGAGCTGCGCTCTAATTCAGCATTACAGGAGATTGTAAACGTCTCATTTTTTATGTGTGCTATTAAGATGTTTTAGCCCACTCTCCTCTATGATGCCTACGTGCCCTGAAAGAATAAATAAGTAAAGAAAGAAATAATTGTAAGGTATTAAATACCAAAGTTTTCTGGTTCGAACCAGTTTCACATTTTTGACACCGGAGCTTTGGGCTTAATAAATCAGGAACATCCACAGCTGAGACATTATCGCTAGAGGGAGCTCGAATCGACGAGCTAGATTAGAAACTTGTAGAGCAGCGAAAACTCACCAGCTGGCGCAGGTGGTCCACTGCCTCGAGAATGAGCTCCTGGTGACCAATCTTGGCAATGTTGAGGCTCGTCAGGTCATCCGGGCCCAGCGTCAGGAGGTGGTGGCCATCGATGTCGTTGTTGAGGAAAAAGTGCACATATGGAATGATGATGTCGTCTAGGCCTGCGGAAGCACAAACGGGCATCCAGAGTCAGCAAGCAGGGGAATTGACATTGGTGGAAGTGCGAAGGATGACTGAGAAGATGTCTGCTGCATGGGACCACAGTATTTTCTGGGCTCCACATGTTTAGAACTTGAAAATTTATGCAACCTAAACTACTAGAGGACTTTTCTTTTTTTTTTTTAAGGTCACTCATTATGACGGGACACGACAGGTTTAGTGAATGAGAAATTATGTAACGAAATCATCAGGAATCGAATATTGCTTTGCTATATCTGCTTCTTCGTTATATATAAACACATACAAACAACATGAAAAAAATAATAACACGGGTTGTCACGGGCACATGTTTATCGAGCCTGCAGAAAGTAATCGAGGCTTTTCTGAGATCGGAGCCACTAATGATGAAGACATTTTTAAAGATGTCCACATAGGAGACATTTTTATGTGTGAAATATGCATCATGCGTGAGCTATGCACAGGGTGCAAACTATACGCCTGGTGTAAGCTCTTTATGAAAAAGCTTTTTTTATTTTTTTTATCTGATAGTTGTTTTTGCAGTTTACACACTGGGTGAGGACTATAGTGTGGAAAATACAGTAGGCTAGTTGACTCCCTTTTCACAGAAAGAATTGAAGCAGCCTATGAAAACTAATGTTTTCTTTGAGTATGCCTAGAAAGTAGTCAGCACTGAATGGTGTATAGACTGCAGCAAACTTGAGGGAACAAGCCAACAAGGGCCATCGCATGAGCCACACTCAAAGCATCGACATGCCAGCCCCCATTTTCTTGCAGCCGCTGCTTTTTGTTGCTATGAGCAAAGTGGGGACAACAAACCCTTTTCAAAACACCATCGAGCAACACTGGCCGTTGCCATTTCTTGGACACGAAGTGTGCAATCGGATCCGAATCCTTGCCGAACGCCGACGTGGCACTTGTTTTTGACACGAGCCGAGTTCATACCGAATGCTGTTGCAACCCCCATGTCCAATACGTTTTCAGAGTATGTACTTGAACAAAGGCGAACTCGGATAATTGATGCAGCGGCTACTAGATGATGCGCACTTTTGCAAAGGGTCTATTGGTGATGGTTACGATTAGAAAACTTGGCTTCCTGAGCTTTGGACACGGACAGTGTCAGGAAGCTCAAGCATAACTGTTTTGTTCTACTGCAGACTGTTTTAACATTCCTGGAAGACGCAACACCGTTCCTAGCATGGTGAGATAAGGCTTCAGATAACTGGCAACAATGGATTTGAAGAACAAGATGGCTGAAGTGTCGGTACTCTGAGGCACAGCCTAGCTTTCAGTGGCTCCAAAGCTGACAGTGCAGTCAAACACCTGATGACCACGGTGTTGATATAGACCCCTTTCGAAGGTGTGCCCACTGCTCGAAGCTGTGGAATCCCTGCACAACGGCAGACATAAAAAACACCGCCAATGTTGGAACCCTAGAAACTCTACTAATCACACTTCATTTCCAGCTTATGTAGTTTTCAGGTCACATTCTGCGGTGTCGCTTGCTCCGCCATTGTGCAGTGCTCCAGACATTTGAACAATGAGCTGTGGCAAATGGTTCTTCGAGAGAACTAAGTCGAGCAAATGTTTGTGAACAATTGTTGCAAATGGATGGTGCTGCTTCTTTGTAGTTTTCAAGCAAAAAAGGCAAGGTGGCATCAACTGTCTTTTCAACTGAGAGACTTTAGATGATGCAGCACTATCCGACTCAATCTACTATTCACACAACTATAGAGCCAATTGAACTCAGCAGCTTGGCAGGGGCCGACACAAAAACTACCCACACAATAGAATTATCTATTTAGCTCATCCTGACAACATAACAAAAATTAAAAGGCTAATCTAAAAAAAATAAAAAAAGAACTGTTTTTGAGCACAGGGTGCTCTACTGACATGCTTTCGTGTAACTGCGACAGAATGATGCATACCTGCCAAGTCAAGAAGAACCAAGTCAAGAAGAGTTCCTAAGCAAGGGGGTAGCGGTCTTCTTAAAAAAAAAGATTGACAACAAATTTACATGAAGACAACTTTATTAGATTTAGATTGCACTGCTCATGCTAGCGAGATACAGCTGGGCCCTGCTATCATTGCAGTCGTCGGTTGCGATGGCAAAAACTCCTTGTTTATGTGTGTGGGGATGGGAGGGAGTAATTTGCGCTTTCTGGGAGATTTTCCTGTCAGATGCACAACCGTACAAACTGGTCAAAATTCAGGAATCTCCTGAGTGATACAGGAGACTTGGCAAGTATGGTGATGTATGCCAAAACCAAAATCATCAGACATACTGCTCGGCTAGATCGCACCAGCAGTGGGGAAACAAGTTACTGTAGGGTGATTCCATGTCAGTTCATGCAATGATGGTCCGGGTCATAATTTAGATATTTTTGTTAAAACTATATATGAAAGCTATGTTCTTGGGAGGAACATTCAGCTATATATGAGTGCCGTAACATTCTTTTCGCTAAGATATAAAATAGAGAAGCTCGAGGCGTGGAAATTGAGAAGATTTCACTATGCTACTTTGCACAGTCGTCATTTCCTCGTCGAAGCTTTCACGTCACCATAACTTTTTTATTACATTTCACAAAAGATAAACAACACATACACAAAAAATTAAAAATATGAATAAAATATTTCTATGCAAACAAAAAAATCAAACATGGCATAAAAACGTGTTTTAGAGACGTATTAACAATTTTTTTGCAAATAAACCATCTTTCATAATACTTCACAAAACATATCAAGATGAGCGTCTTTAAATATTCTTTACGAATATGTAAAAATTATATGTCCACTCTTAATTGTCTTTTTGCTATTAACGCAGAAATGCAGCTGATTTTTCCAAATGTGGCAAGATTGGGCGTTGATATTTAAAGACCTCCATCTTTTATTTTTTTTTAAACTCCTCTTGGCACTTTGCGTTGACTTGAACTAAACTGTGATGGTAAAACATTGAGCAACGTATGACCTCCGAATGGGAAAAGCTACGACAAACCTACACTCGGAGCGAGCCAACATTTTCGTCATAGCGGCTTTGCCGCACAGCACCAAACATTTTGAGTGTTAGTTATTGCATGTATTTTATATATTTCAAATTCTTTTTTTCAAAAGGGGTGAGTATAACTGATGCGAGAAGGGACTTTGAGCTGGAATACCATTATTAGCTTACAATTCACAGAAACAAAACGGCCCCACTGTGCAAATTCGCTAGCTATGCATACATAAGCTTAAAACTTGCAGTTGCGCAAGTGGCCATTATTACATCCGGCTTTTCCAACCGCACTCAACAAAGTGCGGTTGGAAAAGCTACTGGCTCCACGAACAGTGAACAAATCTGACCTTTTATGCCAGCATTGCTACGAATACCTCAAGAATGAGATTGCTTCTCCTCACAACGTGAGTACATCAAACTCTTCTTTTCGGGACTCTGATGAAATTCTGGCTGAAGTGAGACAAGCAATGTGTGCCACTAGTCAGTCAGTAACCCCATTGAAACCACGTAAAACCATAAAAAAAAAGGCGCGAAGCGTATTTGAAGAAAAAACAAGCTCAAGTGAGCTCTTCGATTAGAAGAAAGTTATGACGTGAAAACCGGCGAAGACAGTTGTGAGCACTGCATGGAGTGGTTTGACGCGCTGAAGGCATGCAGTTCCTACCAGGAACGCAAGCGATTGTACACACTTCTGCCACCACGCATCTCGAAGAAAGAAATATTGCGTCTGGTGCCAGAAGCGACTGCCAACATGATTGATCAAACAAGAAAACTGAAGCGTAAAGGTGGTGTATGGGCAACCCCTGATCCCTACGTGGGGAAAAAGGCGAATGCCAAAGACGTGAGGGTTGCACTTGAGTACTACACACGCAATGACCTCGCATGCTCTGTTCAAAGCCCCAACAGAAAGGACGTCGTCAAAGCCATGATCAACGACAAGACCAAAGATTATGGATTTCGTATTATTTTTAACAAAAATATAAAAAATATGACCCGGACTATCATTGCACTAACTGACGTGGAATCACCCTGTAGCTAAAGAAGAGTAGCTGTATACTGAACAAACGAATTATTTTAGTTCCATTTAATTTATTACATCTTTTATCACTATTAAAGTTTTGAACTGGATGACTGGAAAGGTCCCATCATCGTGAAATATTTTATGTTGAAGAGGACGTAGGAGGAACAATGTTCTATAGTCATTTCTGCAGCCCTTTCCTTCGGTAGAAAGGAAAACACTGCTTTGCTCTCGCCATGCCACTGGAAAATGTTAACTTTTTCATTGTGACCATCACTCGTTCTTGTTTTGCATTTTCTATTTTTTTATTTTTTCAGGTTGTAATGTCATTTGTTTTTTATCCCCCCCACCAGATGCGTGAACTACTTTGTGGAAACGATAAGGGTCTATAGGGTGACCCAACGAGAGCAGAAGATTTAATTTCATAATAAAATACATCAATTATGCAAAAAGTGCCAATATTTTTATTTTAATAACAAGAGCACACACACAGCAATTAATTGTTGAACAATAAATCAGACAAATGTCCCCCACAACTATACTGGCACATTCCTCTTCTTGTTGCGAGAAACACTTCCTGGCTGTGTCATCTCTACGCAATGGCGACCAGAATTGGCCAGCGAGGTCGCAATTTTTTGCAATGTGCAACTCCTTTCTTGGGGGGTTTGTGAGACCTTGTGCCTATGCCGACAAACCACAAACAATTCCCGAGCTCAACAGGGGAGATTCGACTTGTCGTTGACGATATTAGACCGCAATTATACAGAAAGGTCCTCGACAATTTCACCAAAGAAGGAAGAGCGTGCCGGCAGAGTCGTTGGGGGCATTTTCCGGATAATCTGTTCCATAATTTATCTTAGTGTGTGCACTTTGTACTGAAAGAAATATAACGGAACTTTCAGAATAAATGTGCATGCGGTGTAGCCAAAGGGGGGTTTCGGTGTCGAATCCCCCCCCCCCCCCCTTTCCCCCCC